ATCACTACAGGGGAAAAGGAAAAGTGCACAAAAAGAAATAAGTTACAGAGAGCTCAGAAATGTATGGGTCAACAGATCCATCTACAGAACCCCGCATTAACACAAGACATAATATGCAGGAGCAGAGTCTGTACACTGTAGAGTATTTGGCTAGGAAATACAATAAATTTAAATATTGGCTAGACGTAGCACCTAGAAAGTTAAGTGAAATTAGTAATACCAGAACATATTTTTCTAAGTTGGTCCGAGCAACTGATGACAGTCTATGAAAAAGAACACAAAGGTTACGAATACACATCTCTCAGAGATTTAAGTAAGTTCCCATAAGTTAAAAGTCTTCCGAAAAAACCAAACTCTAGATTTGAATACAAGCTAAGCCATATTAATTCCCTTACGGTCAAGCCACCCCCTAGTTTGGGACATGAGTTGGTATTCATAAGCTTTACAGAATGGGAAAAAAAGCGGATTTCAAAGCAGACAAGCAAATATTCTCTTAAAAGTCACTTGTGTCACTGCTGAGATATGGAACCTAATCTTGGATTATTCATTCAAACTTACTGGATTCAGAATATATGTGAGTGCTGATCTCAGTTCGATTGGTTAAACTAACCTTCATCAATAGAAGTCTTCACACAGCAAAGGTTCGGAGCAAAACGATCCCCACATCACTTTAGACAGTAAGATAAAAAACGTCATAGAGTTGAAGATATGCTGGACATATGCTCACAGCATACTGAATAAAATGACGGAGGTTAGAAACGTTGTGCACACAGAAGACCCTGACATCATCACCATATCAGAAACATGGCTGACATCAGAACGTATGATAGTGGAATTCAATTGCTCGGTTTTTACTTTGTTTGATTGCCCTTCACATGAAAATTACCTTAACCAAACGAGCCTTCAAGATACTGGTGCATAACCCAGGGACATGTAAATCGGCACACTATCAGCTAAAATCCAAAGGCCATGACATTGGATTAGTTGCTGTATACCTCAGTTCATAATGTGCATGTGAATGATTTTCCTGTAAATAAACTGAAATATCGTCTAAATAAGTGCAGAAGCCATATAGTAGTTGAGTTTAATATACTCTCTATTTATTGGCGAAGCTTAGAGGTAAGGTCGTGTAAAACATTTTTGATCACGAATTGTCAGAAACCGCAATCGTCCTGATTTATTCCAGAACAATGTATATTTCTACGGATATGACCTACGAGACTCACCATCTGTTTTAGACTTAGTCTAAACTCACGGTCATAAGGTCGGTCTCTAATGGGGCAACAGAAAGGAAAGTTCTCGTACATCAATTAAATAACAAACAGGCACCATTTGATTGCCAGGTTAATTACGGAAGACAAGGACAAAGAGGACTATTTAAAGACAGTTTTAACTCAGGAGCTTCTTCTATACAAAGACCACATCCAAATACAAGGTCACCAAATGTGTCACTCCGTGTGGACAATGATCGAGATGACGTACTAAAAGGCCTTAGCGCTTAAAACTCGGAAAAATGAGCAGAGCAGGGTCAAAATTACAAAAAAACTGATACGAATTGCACAGTGCTGCGCTACGTGGCTGACTATGATACTCAGTATGTCACTTGCTCAAGGTGGGGTGCCTACAGACTGAAAGGATGCATATGTTACTGCTATCCATAAGATAGGATCAAGACGATTTTTTTGAAATAGAAACCCATCATCTTCACCAGTGTCTCATTTAAAATTCTGGAAAGAATGGTCACAATCCCATAATAGCCTTCTTGAAAATCAACAACTTGTTGAACAGTGACCCAAGCTTTTTCGCCTTTACGTCGGTTATTTCGGGGAAATGTCGCTTTTTCCACCTTACGTCGTGTATTTGGGGGAAATTTGTCGACAATTATACGTAACGTACAGTATTTGAATGAACCGCATCCAGAACTTAAGTTTTCATAGACTTCGACGAATTAAGGCACCGCTTAATAAAAAGACAAAACTATTGTCATAAAAACGAGGTAAAAAATACGGAACCAGGCATTCGGTTGATACGCATATACACTGACTTCGTTTGTTGTTTAGCTAAAGTGTTCCGACATGCTTGGGAGCCATCGCAAAAAACTTACGTGATGCAGATGAGTGACGTCCTCTCAGATTTTCATGTTCATTGTAACTGATTACCTTGTTAGGCCAATACTATGAGTTCTGTTGAGGTCAGTGAGAATGTTCGTATACGTAGGGCAACTGTGAACTTGTCACGTTCTCTTGGCTGTCGTAGATCCACTTATAACAGAAGGTGGAATAAAATGAGAACTGCTTTCATGAAAAAATATAAATTTCTTTCGTTTAGTGAGTTCGCTAATGAAAGCGCCCTAAAAGGTAACTGAGTTCAACAATGTTGTTTACTAAATTGATAGAAGAAAAGAGAAAAATCAGTTGTAATGACAGTACTACAAGTATAACACCATCCACTAGCAACATCAATCAAAGGCTTTCAGATAATAGTGGTATGTACATTGAATTCATACGTGAATATAGTTCTTATAGGATGTACTGAAGTGAACTTGTGCTCTCAAAAGTTCGTGAATCGCAAAGAACTGATGAAAGACTTTATGGTGTATGTAATGTCAAATACATCTCTGAGCATAAGAGATGCTGATCGGGTTCTGTATGGTCTACGATTTCTTATCCCGGACATACCGAAAAGCATCAGAGGTGTTCTGAAGACTTGTCCAAGTGTTCAACCAAAGTTCATCGGCTGTGGGGTTTACTACCATCTAGGATTGAAAACCAATCTGCTAAGATACGTTGAGCTTTGGTTGTGTACTATTGATTTTGATGGCAGCGGTTACGAGGCTATCAAGTGACGATCCGAAAACATCTATGTGGTATGTTCTGTCGCACCTACTGACACCTGAGGTTGCCAGTAAATTCACGTTACTTGGCACCTCTTCAAAACGAGCACTTCAGAAATGCCGGTTTTACGACTGCATACGAAGTAACTCATATTTAGCATTTAAACTTCAGGCGCGTTAACAAATCGTTTTCTATCATCCTCTGTGAACGAAAAAGACCTTGCGAAGCTGTACGACATAGCCACACAAGGTTATTTTCTCGATGTCAGAGACAAAGTGATAAAGCGTAAAAGAAGGAAAGAAGAGCAGGTATGTACTAATTGTAAGTGATAACTTACCTTACGGCTCTATAGTTACAGTCATCAGTGTCAACGGACATAACCGTAAGTTTCTCATGAAGTATGCTGCTGTGCCAAAGCCTGTCATTCAGATGTCCTTGTGACGTGTTTTTTTTAGACATTTCAGAATTCACAGAAACACTGTTTTAATTCTCAATAGCCGAACATACGTGGCTGAAGGCAAACGTCCTCTAAATTTCTTTTTGTTATACCGAATTTTCAATAAGCATTTTTTGGTGGCACAGCTTACCTTTTTACCAGCATGGGAAGCTATTGAAGTGTTGAGAAAGTGTGTTTGATTGTTAGCGAACTAGTGATTAAATCCACATTCCTTATAAATAATACATCACCTGTTCTTTCTTTTGCAGACATTGTCAAATAATAATAAATTAGCAGTTACAATGGAAATGAAAAACAATCTATGCTGAAGCTTCAGCTATAATGTTGTACAATAATAAGCTTTTCCTTTTAAATAAAATTTTTAAAAGTATACCAATTTTCCAGTGCATTTGACTTTATTTTTGGTCTATTGTTGAAACAAAAGGTGAACATAGGAGACCTTTGGGGTTATGCCAATGGATCAGAAATAAACACTTCTGTGTGTATCTAGGCGAAAAGTAGGCAAATCCGCGGATATTTAGGCGTAAAGTCGGTTATTTATCGACAAAGCGGGTAAAAGAGGGGAAATCCGCATTATTTCCCCCGGACAGGCGAAAAAGGCGACATTCTGGCGCGTTTTCCCCTTTATTTCCCCTTTCGCTACCAAAGCATTTACCCCTAAATTTCCCCTTTGTTCGCCTTTATTTCCGCTTTTTGGGTTGTCTGGGGAACAACATCACTTTACGAAGGTTTGGATTCGCACAGCAAATCTGTTTACAGCAAGAGAAATTGACAGGGCTGCTAGATTATGGCAACCAAGTGCATGCTGTTTAGGTGGACTTCAGCAAAGCATTCGATATGGCGTCGAATGGCAAACTTCTGTTGGGGCTGGTAAATCTGAAGATTATCGGACTTCTCTATTAATGGATAAAAGATTTCTTGGTAGATTACAGAGTGAAAGTAAGCGTAAATTGTAGACCCTCCCTATGGAAACCAGTGCTCGGTGTGATAATCCAAGGCTCTGTCCAGGTTTTTTGCTTCTCATTCTATATGTAAATGAACTACTGAGTATCGTCGATTCCCCCAACGCCACTATACGCTGATTATGTAAAAATTTGGTAAAAAGTAACGGGAGACGCAGATGCGTATACTCGCTTAGGTGTTCTGATTGACTCGTTCAAAAAATGGTTGATACCTGTCAATCCCACAAAGTGTTTCCGTATGCCTACTGGGGATACAAAAGCGAATAAGTAAAGGATTAGGAAGAGTCAGTGAGCCACGGTCTTAAGACCATGACCCAACTCCGTGCGGTTGATGCTAAGGTGTTCATAACTCTATAAGCCTTAAAACAGACATTTATCAAGTTGGATTCTAGTATTTCCACAACAATACAAACAATGAAAACTGTTTGAGCTGCAAGCCGATGTTTATAAAGCGAATCATATACCTTGGAAAAAATTAAGGAGGGAAGCTGCGTCCCCAATTCCAGAGTTCTAGGACAAAACATCAGTTGTGTACTAGTCTCCATCAACTCTTATCAACTCTTGGCGCCTGTAACCAGAAGAAATAGTGTCCGCACTCTCAAATGACTGGTGGAGGAGAAGACTAGACATTCACATAAACTTACCAAAAAATAGAAAGATGTGGATCATAGATCTTCTGTCGATTGGGTGTTGGTTTGTTAAATATTACTGGTAAAACCGGCAATCTTGAAAGATTTTCAGCGCGCGATGTCAGAAATGGAAGTTGATGATACAGGGCCAGTGGCATCCCTCAGTGAAAATAAGAAACGTTTCGAAATAAAAAAGTGGTATGCGGTTGCTTTATGGGCTTGGGATATTGTCGTTGATAATTGTGCTATCTGCCGAAATCACATAATGGACTTATGTTTGCTTGGGTTATTCTCTCCTCATAATATACGTAATAGGTATTGAATGTCAAGCTAACCACGCCTCTGCTACAAGTGAAGAGTGCACTGTTGCTTGGGGTGTTTGTAATGTGAGTTGAATTTTGTAAAATTTAATCTTCCACAAAGCATGCCTTTCATTTTCACTGTATATCTCGATGGTTGAAAACACGACAAGTTTGCCCTCTAGACAATCGTGAATGGGAACTGCAGAAGTAAGTAATAGCTTTTTCTGTACTATGTTTCATTTCAGGTATGGCCACTGAGTGAGCCTGGTGATTACTTTTTGACTTATCAGTTATGGTTGTACCTGTCCAGATAATAAAATAAAATAATTACAACACGTTATTCTTTTTCATTACTTTTGTGACGTTTTCTATAGTAATGCAGTGTTTTAGACGCATGGTGAGTTGGTGCTGTGGTCTTTGTGCAAATTCAGGAAATGACGAAGTGAGTACTGAACGATTTTAAAACAATCTGAAAAAACCTTTTTGTTTATTTCGAATCATCTGTCTAGCCTAGTCAAATGCTATTAAGTTTGTATGTTTTGTTGCTTAGGGCAAAATTATTAAGTTGTAGTACTTAGTGTGAAATGTTATTTTACGATAATCTCGGGACCAACATTATTATACAAATAATCCAGTGAAACACTATAAGTAACCAAAGTAAGTTTTAATCATGTATCAGCAGTTGTTGGTAACTTTTAAATGCCTTGCGATTCACACAAACATTCTCAGTCCTTATACCTATCTTTCTATGGACATAAGGCTGATACGGCTTTGTTTTGATCCCCGTGTTTCCAAGATGTTCACGGTTATTCAGAACCAGATTATCTTACTCTACTAGATTCCTCACTTGTGTATGTTTCCCGTTCTTAGATTTATTATAGGATCAACAGCGTAAGGCCGCTTAAATTACAAGGTGAACAACACTCTAAGGTTGCGATTTGTTTCTTACTTGCAAGTACGTAATGCTTACTTTCTCCATAGATCATCCTGTTTATCTGGTGATTTTAAAGTGAATACTGCTCTGTTGTAACCGCGTTAGAACTAGTCGTCCAATGTTGACATCAATGATGGTACATAAACCGGAAAGATACAGTTTAAAGTTAGTGATTCAATGTTTTCGTAATTGGAAGTAATATCCTCAGTGATTAATTGTTAGTGGCTGATGAACATGAAAGCAGACTCTGTAGATTAAATATAACTTTTTGATAAAGTTAACTGATACACCAGTGTCAGTACTTTCAATCATTCCAAGCCCTTTGACTGAATGCTAAGCCCACTAGCAGGTTTTTGCGTTCGTTGGTACTACTGTGTCATTTGACAACTGCAATTCCAACGTCTACTAATTATCTTTCTGTTAACCGCTTGACACTACCAAAGTGTGTGTGTATAGCTGTTTTCAAACTTGAATATATCGTCATCCATCCACACTTTTGGTATACAAAGTATTATGAATAGTTTATATTCGCGCACCTAATAAATTGTATTAATAGCATAATTGTTACAGTATGCTGCGTTTCTAAAATTTGTTGTAATTTCCGGAAAATACCATGTTTCACTTCAGTTCACTTGAACAGTGTGTATGCTCGCAAACAAGAAATGCATTCATTGAGCGATAAGTTAGCTAACAATTGATGTTTTAATTGAAGACGAGTGCAGTGACTATAAACCCGTAATTAACCATTTTTATGAGCTTCCCGCGTCAAATGTACCTTTATCCTTATAGTTTAAGGACCGAGTGCTAATCTCTTGATAATCTCCGTACTACTTAAACTTAGCGTACAAAACTGACTACTATAAATTATGCATTAATAGCGATGATAGTATTATTTGATTGTGTCATCTTAATTCTAACTGTACTTTGAACCCGTCACTAGTGTTCACTGTTAGATCGATTCCGTTGGTCTGTTGAGCGAAATCTGCCAACGCTGTATTAAAACCTCTTAGATATCTAGAATCTTCGTGTTCAAGCTCCAGAAAAGTTCCCATGGAAAGTGCTGATACGATTTGTAAGAGGAGCGAGAAAACAACTTAGTTGTCGGCATTTAATAACTTCACACAACTACAGCTAAACATGTACACCAAAAGCTGTGTTTTCTTTTCTAAGGATAACCACAGATTATGTTAATAATCTTCATAATAAACTCTGTTTCATCTAAGTAGTAAACAATGCGATTGGTGAATTAATCACTATTGATAAATCCGTAGTTTCTACGTATAAGTATCCACAGGATATTCTTGAAGTAATCAGTTTTTAAGTATCGTAAAATAAGTGACTCCGTAGTTTTCTACCAATCAGTGATAAATAGGGATCTAAATTTCTCTGAAAATCAAATAATCTACACCAGACAAATGTTGGTTGCAATATTGAATAGGAAAACAGAGCTATCTTGATTGATTCATATATGATGGTCTAATAGCTTAGGGTGTCGGGCTGAACAATTCTACTCGGAACCAATCCCCACACCCTAACTAATTAGATTGTAGAAAAGTGAATCACCATTCAAACGAAAATATGTCAGAAAACTGGAACTCTTAAGCTATTCGACGAAGTAAATATGGGTGTATTAGTTGTCAGTCAAAAAATTAGTGGCCATAAATGAGTATAAATATTAAAAACTAATTGTTATTCGTTTCTATTCATTGCAGCACCACTGACCGTACTGTTGAGCTTGGTTTCGATAGTTTAATTATTTTCAGTGTTAAGGAAGTGGGAAAGTTAGCTTCACTAACTTGATATAAACTTCTCATAGTTCCCTTCAAAAACTAGTGATAGAAGCCAATATCTAAATACGTCATAAACATTTACCAGTCCACCAGACTTATCCTATGCAAAGTGTGCAAATGGATAGAGATCTTCCCTAAAGATCATCAGCATGTACTTTTAACTTATTTACTACGTACAGTAGTTTCAACTTTCTGATTTTCCCGAAATCTACAGGACTAATTTCGATTTCGTCTTCACCACTCTGGTCTTCTAGAAGACTGAACGGTAACGTATCAGGTTTTCCTATCATTTTACTTTACATTCCTCTATAATCTATTTGTACACCCCATTAAATATCACCGTCGTTTTTATGACTCAGTCTGAATACCTCAGTTAATATGGTTACAGACCGTTCCAGGGTATTATTTCTGTGATTAACTGAAAGACGGAGCTTTAAACTATTGATGCTTATCATATCAACTTTTACTCATCTAGCTTTCGTTTTTCATCAGTCAAAATAATCACATGTAGTCGATATTCCTGTTTATGTTACTTATCTTGTTAGATCCTACTACAGACAGTAGTTTGTGAATATGTCATGTACTTTTCTCTTAAATGTGCAATAATGCTTTAGGACTGGTCGATTCTCACTTCAGCTAAATGGAGTAGTAGTTATGCGGGCTACCCGTTTTATTTATCTTGAATAAATGTTCGACGAATACAACATTTTCTAACTAGTCTTGGTCGCTTACCGTCCCGCTTAGTAAACTAATACAGTGACTCAATCGGAAATCGCCAAACGACAAGTCCATGTGATTGAATAAGAATCAATATTTTTTTCCAAGGGATGAAACATATGCCACCAGGCTCAATTTCCTTCGAGACAGATACATATTAATGAGTGCAGATGCAGTTGATTCGGTTAAGCAATCAACCTTCTTTCTATCGAGTAGCCGAGCTTGTGTGTAGGGAGAGTACGTATCAGTGTGGGCTCTTAGATGCGGTGCGTCATAACAGTTTTCTAGAGACCGAGGATAAGATGATAACCATTAAATATTTTGCTTTACTAATGTAAGATACGTTATCACCGTTCAGCCAACTGAAGGGTGAAAATTCGACTAGTCCCGGTATTGATTGTTTATATACCCATTTTATCTTTTTTAGCAGACTTTAGCAAATAAGTACTATCATACAGTTCTAGCTATATCTTTTGTACATGAAGATATCATCTGACTGTTTGTAATACACTAATAGCCTACCAATCAAAAAATGACCCAATGGCTATATCACACAACTAATAGCGTTTTACACTTTTTCGGTCGTTTTAAATATTTTGGTCAGCCATCATGCAAAATAATCTATTAGGTTCATAATCTATACTTTCTTCTTATGTTTCCAAGTGCTATGAATCTACTTTTGGTTGTAACACATTTTTGTCTAGCTCCTGAAATGCCTGAGTGACGTAATACTGTTTTAAAAACGGGGGAAAAATATTGTCTTATAAACACTACAATAGAAACATAGTGCTTAAAATGGATTTGATTGATACATGTCTATTTTGCTAGTGGAGGGGGGAAGGTCGTGTGATTTATTATATGCTTTTGGTTCATGTGAATTGCAGTTCATTTCTATTGATTTTCTCTTGTGCTGTGACAAAGTGTGGCTTTTTGAATCGATGCGCTTATTTGCGACTTTACATTGATATACTGAATGGTCAGACCACTTTAACCTTGTATTATTCAGGAGAGATATTATGTCTGTCGTGCTGTGTGATAGATTACCTGGATCCGAGTAAAGTAACTGAGTACTGATTACTAATGACAACCCTATTATTGAACTAAAGCTCCTAAAGGTACTGATGTTAAAAGACATTACAGGTAGCCGACACATTAAGTTATTGTTACGTTGCTAAATGAAACTCAGTATAGAGAAAAATATTAGAACTTCTAGACTGCATTATCTGTTAACACACAATTAAAGTTACTCTATGCCTAATAGGTTTAACACTTCAGATATCAGACAATTTTCCACTCGTAATAACCTAAAGGTCATTTTACTACTGGTTCATTAATGAATAACTAAGTTCTGTCGTGAAAAATCGTTCGAGTCTTACCACGTACGGTACAAGCAATCTTCTCAAACACGGTACGGTTCAATAACTGTTTAATTGCATTCATTAGGTTATCAAACTCATCTTTGGTGGGAAGCATAATGCATGTGTTATTGGTTTTCACGTTCCGTCGAAAAATATATTCACTTATTTAAGGGTTCATAAGCCTCGTTGTATGGATAGTATAAGCCTCAGATTGTTTTAGGATTTACTTTTGTTGTAAGATGTAAATATAGAACAGTACATTATATCAGTTAAATCAAAATAACAAAAAAGAATCTATGGTCCAGTTATGAGAGGATGAAACATTTTACTCTCTAAATTCATCCTTAGTTTAGAATATCACAGGAAAAGTATCACTAAAATCAAAAGGACGTTCAAAAAGAAAAGGTTTAAGAATTGTTGGATAGTTAATAGATAGATATTAAAATGGTGTTCACTACACTAACCAAGGTTAAATGGGTCTATATTTATATTAACGATACCTAAGGTCTACAAACTGTAAGGGAGGAATCTTCAGTTACGCAAACCACCCAGACGTTTACTCATCGGCTTCATCAATACGTACTGTGTTTTCCTTTGCCTAGCTTAGATCTTATCTTACCTATACGCCGACGAGCATAAGATTATTTTCTAACCAATAGTGTAACGAATGAACCATTGCACATTCCTCTACTCCACCTAATTGCTACCTGTCTCAATTAGTCACCGATTGCTTAATAATCACTTGATATAATAAGACCAAGTAAATAATTACGTCTGCGTTTTGTGTAATTTTTTTAATCACAGTATACGTTGTTGATCTAAGACTACAGTTTCAGTCATTCTGTCATTACTTCGTACTTGCTCTAGATTCTGGGTCCGAAAACCTAAACAGGCAGTCGTAGTACATCTGAGACGATTTGTTAATTAGGTAGAAAAGACTGATATATTAGTACTTACTCAAACTAGAATTCAAAGGTGTTTTCGAGTTTATGCGGTTAATTGTGTATTATTAAGTAAAAAGGTTCTGTAGCAACTCTTAAACACCAGTTAACATATCATTTTCACCTTATATGTTATTGTTTATTATATTCATACCACTGTATTTATTCGGTTAATTTTACTGATGCAAATTTAGGATGAGGAAGCTGAACGTCAGAGATTAATTCCAAGCCCCCAGCTTTCATACGATGGGACACAGCAACCATATGGAAGGTATACAAATTTTTGACTCATTTGCTATGCTCATCTATTGAGTTGTGTGTATTTACCTAATAACAATAAGACCGACTCCAAACATTTATCTACCTTTAGATAAGTGTTGGTGACCCTTGTATGCTGTATGAATCAAAATCTACTTACTAACTACTATTTGCCATAAAATAGTTTCCTGTAAAGATTAGTACATATTTTGGTATCAACTACTAAATGAGATTCAAAGATCTGAAAAGCTTAATGAGCTTGATCAAAGAAGTCAATAGTTGTGGGCTTTCCTTGAGCACAAAAGATCTGGAGAACAACAGAGGGTTTCTTGAATATAGTCTTAACTGTTTTCACTGTCTGATCAGTAGTGATGTAATGTTTATATTTCTTTCTGTATTTTTATGGCTTGATATTACTTTGTGTGATATGTCGTTCAATAATAACCCTAATATTCAAATTTTGATAAGTGCAATATTACGCATTTCATAATTTTATTATTTATTAAAATAAAATTCTTGTCTTCCTGATATAACTAGTGATGTGGAGTCTTTCCTCCATGTAAATGATTTCATAGTTCTTATTAAAGAGATTTTTTCGTCATGTATATACAATAAGTCAAATGGTTATCTGAATTTTTGACTGATTATCCTTGAAACGAACCACCTGTCACGGTTTCAGTACTATCAGGACCATATAGCATTTATGGCAAGAAAAAAGGACGAGAATTGTGAATAAACAGATTAGCAGTGTAACTCATTTCTTAGTGTCTCCGTGTAAAAAACATATCAAGCAAAAGACATATCATATAGTTGTCAACCTTCTGGTCGTTAACTTTGATTTTGGGTGATTTTTCGGTTTCGTACTGATCCGTTACAAATGCTACCCATTATCAGTTGTAAGAGTTTGATTTTTCCCCTGATTAGTATTCAGGATTGGATTGATAATATAGGCTAGCTGAACATAACTGCCCCAATAATTCGTGTATTTATACGTTGTTCGCCATGGAGTTTAGGACTCACGCTTAGTCCCAGTAGGATCTCGACCCTATTTACATACACTTCAGTGTGCATACTTACTAAGACTATCCTAGTACTTATCAGTTTAAATTCTGAAACTTTTCTACTGAGTCACCACGTGCAACAGGTATGACACGTTAATCATAAATCACCCTGTTCCAATATCACTGAGCTTCAGTTTACTGGTATTAAACCAGCCCATTCGTTGTACTGATTCTTCTTTTGTTTTCAACTCCGAAAATATTTTATGAACTTCGACCTAACTTCCTACAAAGATCACTCTTAAGATCATAACTGATAATTATTATGAGTTGATGTAAAATCTTCGATCTTATATTGATAAAAGTCTTTTTAATTTGATTGTCTACTTTCTAAATTACAGTTTTTCACCTCCAGATCCTGTTACAAATGAACCTCAGTCAGATATCAATACCATGATGACAAATATAATAAAAGTTGCTGAGAAGTGAGTCATCCAAATTACAAATTAATTCGTCCGTGAATGTGATAATAGTAATAGAAGTCTATAAAAACTAGTTACATTTTTAGCAAATATTTGGTTTGCTGTTTAGCAGTTCCTGAACCCCTTGAGCTACTCGGTAATAAAAACGCACTATCGTATATTGCAGTAATTAAATCGTTTTTTTTTTCGAAATTCATTATATAAGGTCTTGGTTCTAATAAGCTGGGAGGGAAAAGGAATACAAACCGTCGTAACATTCCTCTTTCGTATCATTAAGAAGCATGACGATGATGTTTAGTCTAAATGATATGATTCTTAGCTGATGATCTATGAGAGTTCGGACTCACGAAACTTCAGGATCCTTTTTTTACATAATGTATTTAGTGGCCTACATACTTTTAAACAGTAATTTTGAATATGTTCAAGGCATTCACTTGTACGAACACACTAATGACGACTCTTAAGTCCCACATTTTAACATGCAAAAAACTGAGAGATAATCAGAAAATCTATTGTATAAATCATTAACAAGACAAAATGGTGTTGCAGAATAACCATAAAGTGTCATATAATATTGTGAGGAGTAGTTAACATGATTTACAGCTGCCATACAGATCCTGTAAATATATGTGAACATGTGCATTATCTCACTGATTTTCCAAGTCATTTGGGCAGTGACATGGTAAATTTCACACATGGTCTTATAAGTGTATTCTCTAAACAAGGTTCAATTATTTTTAAACACGTATAGCTCAGAATTGTATTACTTCATAAGTCTTTCGGTCAACCGACACTACCTGCCATCTGATTAAGTTTAACCATGTGCGATATTGTTTCAAGATTGGATGCTTTTCGATAGAAACAATGTTTTTTTGCTCCAAAATCGTGTATTAGTTTAATAATTTTACTTTACCTGACCTTTTTAACTAGTCAAGTGGTGGATGCTGGAGCAACAGATTACAATCCCCTAGATTCACAAGAACATATTGAACGGTCAAGATACTACGCGTAAGTTTCTAACAATTTCTCGTTACTTTATCAATTGTTTGGCGTCCAGGCATAAATGAGTGATATGTACATCATGAATGTTATCACTAAAACGTGGATTGCACCAAGTCCAATGGCATAATACCGTTACTGGTTAGCGATCATTTGCATATCTTTGCGCGTTATCTATTTTTATAACATACAGGAAACATGTACTATATCTAAGAAACACTCATATCAAATTTCCAATTTTAGAAGTTGCCAAATAATAGTTGAGACACTTGACTTTCAACTATTCGACTGAGTCTAAACTTCAGTTTAAACTCGTAAAGTGTGACTTTGATCTGAGTACGAAAACTCTATTTCATGAGTTATGTAAAGTCAATCATCACTACCAAATTAAGTCGACGAAGTAAGGGTATTTGGTAACTCGAAATGAAGATATGAAACTTGCCTACCACTGAAGCCTTAGCAACTCACCAAAGAAATTTTGAAACGTGTATCCAGAAGTTATATCTTCATCCTATTCTATAATAATTCTAGTCCGCTTCTAATTTTTCATTTATTAGAATGTCTCATACGTCCATCTTTACACGTTTTTCTAAAAACATTTAGTTTCTGACATGTAGATTTTTAAATACTTCATGATGCAAAACTTACTCGTCCCACAGTACGCTGCTGCGTATGCCGTATAATTATTTATACTTCTTGACAGCTTAGTTAATTGACATAATCGTGAAGGAAACATTCTTCGCTCGGTTCAAGGTCGTAATATCAACCATTTTGTATAATTTTAGAGAAAGCATAGCTCGACAGCCTTTAGGCCCGCCACCGTTGCCAGTGTTTTTGCCAAGAACATTTGGAAATCCTGCGTCAATCATAGATGCACCGCTGGTGGAAATCGCTGAAATTAATGAAGTATGTTAAGTCTTACTGATATGCCTTACTTATTTTCAATGCTTTTATGTTTGTGTCAACGGATTAGCCTGATATCTGGCTTCAAGAGGTATTCTGAATATGAAGGCAAGTGGTGCTACTTGACTCCAAAACTAGAGTAGGTGAAGGGGGTTTCGAACCTGTGGCTTAGTTGTTCGATCGAACCCCTTAACTACTGAGCCACCACCACTCTAACCTTTGTATAACAGTATTACTTCCACTTAGTTGATGTTCTTTTGTTGCTTTTATAGTTTGATTTTATAATTTGTCTTAACTAAGATGGGTTTGGTAGTTTAAACCTCTTTCTATTGTATCAATGTGTACCTGGACAATTCTTTTTAAACTTTTATCAAACGGCAAGGGCTATATCCATTCGTTATTAACACACTAAAAGTTCACCGGACGATAAGTATTTACTGATTATATACGATTATGTGATACTACATTAGGACGCAAATAAACTTACAGCGGATAGCAAGACTTGCATTTTCTCAAGCTTTTTACAAACATAAACATAACAAACTGGATTATTAGAGTGCGAAATAGGTTACTAGGATTGGAGTATCCATATCCGTAAACAATGGAGCCTCAGATAAGAGTCGAAATATATGCCTAACACTATATCCATAGAAAACAATTCTTTCTTCACGTTCGTTAATCGAATGGTATTCACTGAAGTTTTGATATAAGTCTATGACATATGATATTCAGATAATGGATCACGAATACCAACTCTGAGTAACATCTGTTTCATATGTATTTGAATTTGATTACTCTACGGATGATCAATGATATTTACGATTGTATTCGTAATTTGAGCTTAAAAATTTTCATAACCGCTTTTCCTCACTTTGTTACAGATAAGACAGCTTGCAAAAGAAAATGCCGTATTTGTTCACGAAATGACGACACAAGAAAAGGATGATCTCATTGCCCACTTCAGTCAAGCATAGAGATAAAGAAAACCTTACAAGCTCCTCTTCGAAAGTATATGCTCTCAATATCTACCAGACTACTTTATCTTTTATATATTTCTAATTTTTGTACAGAAAATCCTAAGTTTAATTGTATACAATTTATCTGATTATTTTTCAAAAATGTAACACAGTAGAAATCAACGTTCACTAAATCTTTGATAAAAACAGAGTTGATTAGGTCAGATAGTTCAAGTAAAATGCAAAATGCTTTCGTAGAATTTGATAACAATTTGTGGACACCGAATGTTTGCTTGAGCAGCAGGTACTACATCACGGACTTGACTTCCTTTCCTAATATTTACTGATGAGTTATGCAAGCAATTCTTTACCATTTGATCAGGAAATACAGTTCATTGTCCTTTTTCGTAACCATATTGATAAAGTCAGGTGCTAGCCCACGATCAAACCCGTACGGTTCAGAGCCTTCAGGCTGCAAATATGTCGTCAAAAGTATCACTTCTTACAATAGTAGCTACTGTTGGCTCAATGGCTGCGTGTTTATCGAGGAAACGCCTGAGCAATACTGGACAATTTAAGTTGGACTGTGGTTCCCAAGTATTTTTTGAACTGGATGGTTATTTTGAAATAACATTACCACTTACGGAGAATGTCCTTTCCATTTGATTAAGTACTCTGGTTCTCCATTGATTGTACGCATATCTAGTATATCTTCCACCTCAAATTCTACCTCATCTCCGGCTGAGTTTTTCCAATGTCGAGTAGGCATTGCCTAAAACGAAAATAGTTTGGTAAATGACGATATACCTGTGCAGGTTCTAATACTAAACTATTAACAACGTTTATATGAGGCTAGGTGGTATTCTAGGATCCAAACTCTAAAGAGGTATGAGCCTATGATCTCGTGACTAGAAGCCGATTAATTTAATGGGAATTGACCATTCAAATGCACTTTAAAGCATTATTTCATATACAACCCGACAGCTTGTAAGTTTAGACGTCGCAAGTATAACGTTATACGGACTTTTTATTGCGTTGTGAACATACAAAAGAAAACTGAGCGATTGTGGGAGCTGTCAAGTTTCGATAAATTCAAAATCTAGGATCGTTTGATAGCTGCTTGTTACACTGACGAATACTAGCTGCTGCAATAGTATGGTGGAAAAATGTGCAAGATTTATGTTTACCCTAATACGACGATGGTAATAATAAATGATAAGCTTCACTAAACAACAGTACAGCGACAAAACAAGAACAAAAGACTACAGAAACAGGAATTCACTAAAGTTTCCCAAGCAAAGTGTTGAGCAGTCCGACTACGTACACAAAGTAGTATATCGTTAGGTATAAAAAGTAGACTCCAATTACGTTTTATTCGAAATACACATAACCAAAAGATGGGGTTGAGTGGTTAGTTAAGTGGACAAATAATACGAAGTGACGTTGCTAATTGAGTGTCCAGGCGGAAATTCGACCGAAATCGTTGCTGAACAATAAAAATGAGTACGTTCAATGGTCAGATTTTCTCTAGATACATAATATAAATTATCTTGTGTGAAGAACTACTCGCTGACGCCGTTAAAAAGTGAAACAGGTTAGCTAGTTTTAGTTTCGATTGTGCCAAAATCATCTACATACTAAAAGTAATTATACCATCCATCACTCCTACATTGCTTTACAGTCGCAATAAATAAATAGGTTGAAGACGTGTATGTTGCGAATACTCAATTGTGTCATTAAAGCGTTACTTGTATATTTTGGGACGATTAAACTGGGAATACTGGCACTAGGAAAACCAGTTAATGATGCTGTGAGCACTCACTACGTTGTTACTGACTGACTGACACTAAATTAAATGGCTGTCGCTTATTAGTATGAGACCTTTCATAAATATTTATAGCTAAACCACCAGAGAGATAGGAAATCAACAGGAAGAGAAAATATCATTCCCTAAGGAAACCTAAACATAAGGAATATATTACAAAGAGAACAAACAAAAGCGAAGAATCAAAAGCATGGGATGACATTAAACTCAAGAGTTAGGGGACTAGTTAGTACCAGTACGATTGATTTCAGGATATATCAGTCAGAAGCGGCGACTTATTATTACATAATTCTCGAGCACTGTGTCTTCTATCTTTTCTTCCGAACACATTATCTACATTTTCTCTCAACAATTCACTAGTAAGCACCATCTTAAACATATCACTTTTTCCTTTTACATGAACCGACATATTGGTTTGAAGTATTAAGTTGTATAAAGGTGGATTTTTTTCGTCTAACTCTACAAGAGCTAACATTCTGACGATAGAATCACCTGTTGGCATTGTCGAGTTTGATGTGGAAGTTGACAAGATCTAGATGTTACTGAACATCTTAGATTGTAATACCAGAATTTTGAGGTTGTTTCTTTGGTTTCAAATATGAAATGTTAGTTGGAGATTAATCTGTCACAGTGTCTAACCCAAGAGCACAATATAGTGACAAAAAGTACAGAATACTGAACTTATTTTGAAAGCCCAGTCAGACCTGGCTAGTTATTAGGGTAGAGAATCTTTACATGTAGATATGGTTTATTTGGATTTTCTCATCTGGCATTTGTCCATGATCTTACAAACGAGCAAGTATATTGTACAACAGCTCGCTGTGCATTATTTTTTAGAAGTAGAATGAAAATCGTGAAAACACCACCCAATTATTCGAACAGGAAGAACTGTTTGTGGACTATTACTAGGGCAGTAATTACTCATATTGCATGCAAGCTTGGATGCCTAAGTATTGTGTGAAGGTTCATAATCAGTTGATGAGGAGCGAGACTAAAATCAATGGACAAACCAATGAGATTTAAAATAGCAAGCCTTGGATCTTTGCGCGAAATCATGTATTGTAGTATCACTTAAACATCGTCCCTAAATTGTAGTCACATTGCTTAGTATCAATAGGTCAGACAAAAATAAATTCAAAATCAAGGTTATCACAAACAAATAACTATAGGTACCACGCCACCGACATACAACCAATTTCCAACTTGACAAACGACCCTGAATATTCAAATACAACAGAGCATTAAAAGAACTGCATGCTTATACGACATGTGTAACAAGTAACGCTTCAGTTTTTGGTTAGGCTTGGCATATTGTCTTTAGTAGTGTTAAATTATTTTAGTCACCAAAACTTTATTTTTACGGTCGTCATGTCTGCTAAAATTCTTAGTATGTCAGATTACTGGACTAAATTGTGGGATAACATTATTATCAGTGAGACAATTTCCTGATGGATAACTGCTGACGTCTGATTTGCACGGAAATCTCTTGTTTTTGAAGTTTGTGGCAGGTTAGTGATCAACCACAGCACTTCTAGAAACTAAATTTATCATCAGTTGGAGATTTCACGATTTCACTGTTGACTCAATAGTCGGACAAATTACGAGAGTGACGAAACCTATGCTATCAGAAGCGGATGAACTTTTTTTGTTTGAGGCCACGGTGAACATACATTGCCATTCAAAGTCTTCATGCTATGAACAGCTGCTTCATCATGAAATTAGTCATACATGAGTAATATTTTGCTTCTGTCAAAATGCATGGTATTCAGTCAAACGAATTCCGAATTTATTCAAACCCGAGGACGGACAACCTACCCAGAATTCATGTTTTTCAGTTCGCAAACAGTTGACGCGTATACACTCAACGTCATATTCACAACTGGAAAACTCATGCACATCATTGTAGTCAGGGTTTGGTATCTGTGCACATAATTACGCGATGTGATCTATTCAGTCTACAGTCTTCAGTAATAAGGATAGTAGGTTGGTGAACCTGTATTAATCCTGACACATTGCTTTCCAGTGAAGGTCCAGCTTTTCCTTGAAAGTATTCATTGATGGGGCTGTACCACTTGTTCGGGTAAGGCGTTCCAATGATTGACTACTCGATGAGAAAAACGGGACCCCACTTTAAGTTTATTAGATCGTGGTTCATGAACCTCTTGCTATGACCTCGGAGATTATTAGTGCTGGAGTGAGCAAAAAGAGAATACATATTAACACCCGAATCATAATTAAAGATACGAAATGCCAGTATAAGGTCACCTCGTGTCCTACGATACGACAAGGGAAAAGATTTAGGCGTTTTAAACGCTCATCGTAAGGGAGTCTAGAAAGACCCTTCACTAATTTCGTTCCTACTTGCTGGACAAGCTCAAGCAAGTTAGTATCCTTTACCAGACATGGGCTAGCTGCTTGGATACAGTATTCCAAATGTGGTCTAACATATATGGGATATTAAATTCGAAACGTTTCCTCGTCAAAAGATTTGAACGCTCGGCGAAGTGACCGCAACGCACGGAAACCTTTGACAGCGGCTGCTTTGCAATGCGTACATTTTACAATAAGCTGTGTTTTTTACGAAAGCTGGTTCGCAAATTCGAATCATTTTGAAAAGATTTAAAATCGATGACGAAGTTGGTTTTACTGATGGTGCCGGGGCTAACATTAATGAATCTTCAACCACCAAACTAGTTATTTTACTATAGGTAGAGAGACAAAAAGATTATAGTTCACATTACTAAGTCTGAGTTGAGAATTATCAGCACAAGCAACGAATGTTTCATAGTGTTAACCATCATTTAAAATAAGGATGAGCAATTTTCGAGGCAAGGTCAGCTAATTTTAGCTTTGTAACTGACGTTTAAACACTTGGTTCGTTTAACTGTAATGTCGTCATTTACATACCTGATCAAGAATGCCATGAAGTCTTGTGCCAAACTAAATATTTTGTAGCCGTAAAACTTTATATGTTAAGGAAACCACATGTTGTTCTACAATCCAACCGAAACGCAGTAAACAAATCCTTAGTAGTAAAACGCGTAACTCCGGGTTTCTTGTGCTGAGCCTGGTACAACTACTGGTTCTCCGTTACATGTGATACTAAATACTTCACTCCTTTGCAATTTATCCAAAATGAAGCACTGTTAAAGGGATGTTTTGCTATCTTCTTTGAAAACAGAATCGAGTTTGACTTCCACATGCGGGCACTGATGAAATATGTGAAGTTCGTTTGACATAATTTGTGCGCTAAGTGTGTCCAGATTGTGAACAGAATAGTAATAAGTAACACGTGTGTGATGTACAAATTGTCAAATTCCACGAACAGAAGATATCGAAACAAGTTGAATAAGACTAAACTAGTGTAGTATCTTTCGGACACACTACCAGTTTTCGATGTCAGGTAACTTTATACAAGATTCACTAGACGTTTTCATCATGCTCTTAACTAGGGATTGCACTCTACAGTTACATTATGAAGCATGAGACGGCTGAAGATAAAGTTGTTATGAACACTTACGCCTGTAGTGACTCACTTTTATCACGAGAACACGATTGGTTTATTGAAAACAATTATTATTATAGTCAATTGTACCAGTGACTGTTTTAATGTGCTTTTGTTTAACTGTGCTAAAAAGCATCCATTATTCTCACACTTTGATTGTGACCTCGCGCGAATTCGGTTAAGCTCTGTAACCAAGGTAGTATCCTGGCACGATCTCAGTATTATTTCGATACCACGAGATCGCCAGCAAATATATCTCGACTTGGGACGAATTCGGGGGTCGCCATGTTAAAAGATGTTTTTCCTTATGCTTAAAGTTAGTATTTGCAAGGAACAGGCGGTTATCTGAGCATAGCTGCAACAGACGGTCGCCATTATCTGTTCTTTGAGCCACGACACCATAAGATCCACCTAGGTGTCTTTCCCTATCGCTAGTTTACCTACTTGAGCATTAAAGTCACCGGCCACTATTACTACATCCGAGCGCTTAGCTTTTCGGAGAAGGTCCGAAAGCTTTCTGTAAAACTCATCTTTTACATCATCTGAGCTGCAGTCAGTGGGAGAATAGGCAGAGACGACGAAGAGGCAACGACGAGTGTCCCTATCTTTCCGGATTCTTACTGTTCCGTTCAGTCGGACAGCGCACAAACGACTGTCTACTGGGATCCACTCTAAGAGAGCTAGTTCTGCCCTAGGACTCAATGCTATACCTACGCCGGCGAGGCCACGGGAAGCAGAATCAGGGCTTCCAGATACACGAAGCGTAAATCGAGTCGGTTCTTTATTTTGGCATGGTGAGGTCAAATGAATGACGCTACTTGGATCCTGTATGCGCGTTTCGGAGACGCAGCACACATCGATGGCGCGAGATTCTAAAGTTTTAGCTAAGGAAGCCTGCTGTCCTATTTGGCAAAGTGTTCGTACGTTAAAAGCTCCTACGTGTAGTTTAGAGCGTGGTTTCAGGAGACCAGGAATGGCGTTCCACGTACTCAAATCGTTTGCCCTAGCGGTGCGAGGTGATAAAGAGACGTGAGGAGGGTTAGTCATGGAGATAAGAGAGGTATTAGGAGGTGTAGGAAGGATTTGAATGTGACCACCTTGGTCTCTTGTGCTGTTACGGGTATGAGGGCTGATGTCACTTCCCGGCTGCCCACACCGTGGAAGGGTATTTCTTGAGGAACCTGAAAAGGAAATTGGATTAGTGTTGGTCTTGACGACCTGGGAGCGTGACCGCAGAGCCCAAGGGACAACTGCTTGAGGCCGGTCGCGCACGGCCTTTTTGTGGAAGGTTTTTGACGTGTTAGCTCCGTTCTTCAAAGGGCCTTACCGCCGGAGACGGAAATCCGTGAGGTAAGGTGAGGTGTGACATTTTTAGGGTCGACCTTTTCTAACCCCACCCCTCCTTGTGGGAAGGCAGCATCGCTGTCATGCTGGTTGTCCGAAGGAAACACCTTACTGCTGTCACACACCTCTACAGTCAGCAGTACGACTTCGCCCTCAGACCTTGAGTTGCTGCTTTTAGTCTTACCGTTCACCAATCGACCTGCCTGGCATGGTAGAACCTACAGGAACATATGTTCCAGCCAATATAGCTCGGTTGGGTCATCACGATAGGCAAGCCCGACCACCGCGTCAAGGTAGCAGCAGGTAGGGTATCAAGGAACTATGGATGCTTAGAAGACCGTACAACACAAAGAATGTTATTACGGATATATATCAGTAAGAATAAGTACAGAGAATATAGTGGGACCACGACCGCATGGGCCAGTCCATGGCACACGACCAACGTATACGCGTTGGTTGCTTTGGCTTTGACAGAGGTCGAGGATCTGTTCGATATAGTTAGTGACCCAACTGTCGGATGATTTGGTTAGGGCTAAGTGAAATATCATTGGCCCTACAACACTACATTGCTGTGTTCAAATTTAGATAGGTTCAGGTAATTAAAATAAATTTCAACACCCTTGAAAGAAATAGAAAGCATGAATCCACCTTACGAGTTATTTAAACCGCATGTAATTAATGCCTAGGTTTGTGAACGAAGTGTAAAGCCAGTATTGTCAATAGCCTATAGGCGTATTGACCAGCCCGTACAACGAATAACGACCTGCCCCTGTTTCTAATATTCATAAAATATATACATACCTATCCTTAAAGAAATCAACGAAATATTATGCTTCGACTTCGATACCGTTGCATTCGAATATTATACTATTGGCGAATTACGAGAACTATTTACAGACAATATATTCTATATTGTACAACTACTAAGTAACTGGATTATATACACCTATATTCCCCTTATGATAAGCTTTCACTCGACTTGTCGACCACTTATATACTGAACCACATCCATGTTTGGCTTGACTTTGTATAATGAATATTTCTACATTTGTGATGTGATAAGATCTGATCTGTTCGTATATAAACCGAATATGTCTGAAACATACGATTCCTATGCGGGAAGGCTGATATTTGTGCTCCGAAATGAAAGAGCTGAGCTGAACGAGAGGTTACTTATACAGAAGATCAATAAGGACCCGTAGTTGACTCAAGGCTATTCGTGCTGGTTAACGCAACAATGGTCCCGCAAAACAAGTCGGCATTCTGATTGGCGATCGTGATTTAGTAATGCTTGGTGGCATGTAAATAGACGCTTTAATAAACAGGTCTGTTAAGTCTACGGTTTACTTCCTAATAAATAGCGTGTGGTAACGACAGATGCTGGAAACGTTGTCTAGATAACTACTACGCATGAATTGAAAAAAGGTCTTATGAAGTGCTCTTACCTTACCTATCGATGTCCACTTTATTTATTAAGGTCCGAATAAGGCTTTTGAGAATCCGCACATGCAGGTGGTGAAAACGTTTTTCATGAGTCCATAAGTACTCAAACCTAGTCTGTCACTTTTCGCCCAAGTTCCTAATACATGATCGTTTTTAAGAATAACTCATAACTCAGTAGTATGCTCAAGAAAACTCAGTCAGATCGTTTTTCGCGATGCACATAGAATAACTTAACGGTGTTTCTCATCAGAACTTATTTGCGTTCATACGGCTAAAACTTAGAAAGTGAAATAATCCAAAGCTTATTGATAAATTGGTGTTTAAACTGTTGCTTTCGCAGTATACAATGGAAAGAATGAAAGAAGCTAATGACAGATAACAGCGCTTCCTTTAAATCACAATATAAAGATGTTTTTAAGATAAAACAGATGAATTGTTTTTCTATAGTTTGGGGCCATCGACCGACTTACAACAGGACTTAAAAATTTTATGTACTCAAGTTATTAGTAACTAGAAAAATCACTAAAATGATTCAATTCCGGAACGCTCATTGGCGTGGGATTGTTTATTACTCCCATATGTGAATCATCGATTAGTAAACTAAACTGTCCTGATCCATCTTATGTTAGAGACGGGTGACTGACACACAATTTCATAGTTACACAATAAAGTAATTGTACAAGTTAACATCGGATATTATTAACGATCGTCAGACACAAAATCGGATGTTTCCCTATTATTTTACATACAGGTTAATAGACAAAAACTTTAGAGTTCTATCACAGGCTTTTCATCAAACTCTCATTAGTGTTACGTATAATGGACACATCAGTAGATCGTCAAACATATTCAATATTGATTCGCAAAAGCCTATCCAAAATAACCGTTCATAAAGTAAGTAACATTTGAATATCAGATAAAGTAATCTACACTGCAAACTACTGAATGTCGAATTACTTATTGTAACATGTCTAAAGAATACGTGGATACAAGCAAAAAAGATCTAGTCCTTACCACAGCCATTATAAAATTGATGCGAATGTGAGTAGAATCATAACATATTCAATATTAAAAAAAAACAAGTACCATATAGACGATACATACAGACTATAAATAACTATCTGTATTCTACACAAGGTCAAACAGAACGTTGTATGTTATGAATGAGGAAAGTAAATGGTTAAACAGAATTGCAAGAGGGAAATCACGAAAAAAATACAAAAATAATACATGGTAAAGACAAATCAATTAGAATTATAATGAATGAATTATTAATGCTTGTCTGATTAAGAGAAACTAGTTAAAACACGACTAATTACGTAATATTCCGATAGATTCAACAGGATTCACTAACAAAGATACAGGACGCCATAATGACACAGAAATCAGTATGAGGAAAAATAACAGCGTCACCACAGAGTGATACTTGAAGACAACCCTAGGCTAATTAGCATTAACATTAATATATCAGTGTATTTATGAGGCAGATAATAGAATTACCGTGAGGGTGAATCAAACTAATATATGTAATCAAAATAAAAAATTATCTTTTTAACGCTAAATCTACAAAGATTAACAAGGAAAGACATACGTTAATTTAACGGTGAAACATGAAAATATACTAGATTAATACAAAGCAACTCTTTTACACAATAGTTATTGGAATGTAATTGAAAGTTATGAGAATAAACAGAGTAAGAGGATGAGAAATTCATACTTCAACATATTTATTTAGAGTACATTAGATGTAATATTCTACCGTACTTTCTACGAAAATCAAATGGATACAACGTATACATGCCGAACAGGAAGACATTTTCCAATAAATGTAAAAGCAGTCAGTGCATGAGGAGAAACGAAGAATGAGAACAAGTTTAATATCTAAAATATAGGAAAAATATGCCGAAATAAAATTTAGTTTGTTCTAAAATCTGATACAATGAAATGAATACTTCAAGTAAAAAATCTACAACGGAAATGTAGATGTATAAAACGTTACTGAAGGTAAAACATTTTTAAATTGAGACTAAGCAAAAGGCATGAATGAAATATATTATATTACGAACAGTACAGATATACACAATGGGTCACATATAAATGAATACGGAATAAAAGTTTGTTTCTTATTATCACCAGGGTGTTTTGCAAGTTCATACATATATAACCATGTTATCTAGAAGGAATGCTTAGGCACCTATCTATCGAACTTCTTCGATGACGAGTGATAGTTATTATGTTTATATGTACCCATAGTTGTGTTAGGGCGTGTGATGCAGGTAACACAACATCTCCTTATCCTTAAACCTTGTACTTGAAAGGGGAATACGACTATCTGACAATAATTGCAGGAAACGACCACCGTTAATTGTTCGCTCAACTGAGATACCAAATGACCCAACTTATTATTTCCCAACTTGATTTAGAATATCTGCTTTAGTGTTAACACTGCCTGGAACGACTACCACGCTTGTCCCTCGCAAGCTTAAGACCAGAAAACTTCCTATAAAACTCATCACCTACTTCATACGAACTGCAGTGTATAGAATCATATGCAAAAAAAACGAAAAAGTAACTCAATAAGTTCTCACCTTTCTGAGCTCTTACTACACCTCTTAAACGGATAGGTCATAAAATACTGTCGATAAGAATTTAGTTAAGGGAAATGCAATCTAAATAGAGAAGTAAACAATGACAGTTTGATGGTCAACAATAATCAATCAAGATCAAGGTCGACAGGACAAGGTGTGAGTCATATGTGGAGGGATTCAAACACTTCACTTCTACTTGAAGTTTGTGCAAGAAGAACGATGAAAGCTCCGTGATCAAGCCATCCAGCTCAAATAATAGATGTCAACCTCAACCCAGCAAAGTCACTACAGTTAATGTTATGTAAACTCAAAGACAAAATCGTTAAAAATACTACATAATACAGAGAGCTCATTCTCTTCACCGTCGTCTACAATAAACCCACTTTGCCGTCAAATCCCAAGGCATATGTTAGCCTATATTAATACATATAGACCACTACGGACACATGTTAAACTGCAAAAACGGTCAAGTTTTAGATAGAAAAAACACAAAGAAAATGAGAGGATTTCTGTAAGCTTGAGACTGAAATCAGTAAACATTTAACATACATTATGAAATAAACGCAACTCACCAACCAATTAGAAAAATCAAAAGCAACCAAATAATCAAGAACCAGGACAAGATAAACAAGATGAATGTGTAGATAATAGTGAGATAGGTCCAAACAATGATCAATCAAATTTTAGGTAGACAGAACAAGTTGCTAGTAGTTACTTGTTGATAAATTCTAAAACTAAACTTTCTTCTAAAGTTTGTACTGATGTTATCTACAAAAAACATTGACAGCTTAATGTTTGAACCACCCAAAGTATCATTAATAAACGTTAGTTTGTCGATAAGTAAAAATAGGTGAGAAAGACAATTTTATAGTGTATGACAGTTTTGTATAATATTATTCTATTTATTCCTCAATGTGAATAAGTATAGTTTTGTTCGACTTAATGTGCTAATAATGAAAAAAAAAACTTTATAATATTTTCTTACTTGTAGTTACTCGGTTTAAATGGTCCTGTTTTATTTACACCTAAATATCGAGCTTGTTCATCAGTGAGTTCAGTTATTCGACCATTGAATAATGGAAGATGTAATGTTGCCACATATTCATCTGTAGTATTAAAAAAAAATGGTTAAATTAATACAATCTACATTAACAACTATGAACTTTCGGAACGTGATATTTTAGAATAACGACAATATTTACAGAAAAAAACACAAAAAAAACAATGAAGAATAATACACTCTTATAACAGTCTACACTTCTATATGAACTAAGCACTGATAATATCGACTAGAACGACAATAAGATCACTGTAAACTAAATCATCTAGCTCAGAAAATACAGCAATATCAATTGCAGTAAAACAACAACCTCGATACTGTATACAAAACCGAAATTTGAGTTAATACTAACCAATCGATGAACTATTGTTAAGTTTCAATTGGAAATGAAAGTCTTGGTGCAGACTTCCACAAAGTTATTTGGTCAAAAAAGCACACGTTTATGATAATACGATAAAATATAAAAATGTCAAAAGTCATTTTTCACGTTCGATTACATCAACCGATTCATTTCAGAAAATCACGAATCTTGTGATAAATTAACTTCGTTCATGTTATTTATTTCCTTTCAATGAATAAAAACAACTGGTTATAGTTGTTTATATGTTTTAAACAAACTAGAGCTTAGATGGGTGAACCCATCATGGTAAGATTTTGTCTACTATTGTTAGTGAAGCATGTTAAAAGCGAATTGAATATCATACACAGAAAACATTTATTCAAGCCTTTCAGATGATATATTGTAAATCCCACCAAATCATCTCAGTCGTTGGTTTAATAATTACATTCTATTTCATCAAAATATTTCATATTTTGAGATCATTGAATGAGCCATGATGATGTTAAGTATAAGGTAAATATAAGGTGAACATGACAAATCGGTTATGAGGTGTGGTGAATCACCGTAGACTGAGTTGATTAAGACATGTAATAAAGCTTCCCAAACACAGTGAAGAATTCAGAAAGCAACACAATTTATTCAATCAAAAAAATAATAAAATTAACATAAAATATCTTCGTACACCAGTAATGGAGAAACATTTAGGATTTATATAACAAAAACCTAATAACTTTGTGAAGTGAAATAAAAATGGAACAAGGAAGTAGGACAAACAAAATTAATACTAAATTACATATTATGACTTTCTAATTTATATCCACATTTTCTCTTTTCAATAAATAACACAGTAGAATAATGAATAAACCTTAACCTATAAAACAATAAAAAACAACTCTTGCTTATCCGAGAAAACAAAACAAAGAGATGATCTTCTAGAGTGAATGAAAAAAAACACGAAAAGGTTAGCAGAGAAGAAAACTTGGCCACACCTAGTGATTTTTTTTGTCCTAAAAAAATGATCTCGAAAATAGAATTTGTAATAAGAATTTATTTAAACTTGACAATGAGAAAATCCGTCTGGAGTTTATGCGGAGGCTACTGCCGGTCCCAAGCCCGGATAAAGGGGGAGGGTTGGACACGGGATTAGCGACCCCATCCCGTAGAAAACCAACTCGCTAAAAAAAACGCTAACCAGAAAAAAAATATTCAAACCGCTTAAGCACTGTCCTGGGAGTCAGAAGGTCTTCATTTAGTAGAACTATGACGCCTCATGATGAAAGCCGAGCTCCTTCGGGTTTCACGAGACCGATGCCCCTTCTGACAACCAGAGCGACCATTTATTTAGGTACATGGAATGCTCGTACAATGTGGGAGACTGGGAGTCTTCCAAATTGCTGCGAAAATGAGGAGATATAACCTACAGGTGCATGGAATCAGTGAAACACATTGGACGCAAGTTGGACAACAACGACTAGCTTCAGGGGAGCTTCTGTTATACTCCGGCCATGAAGAAGAAAATGCCCACATCCACAAGGAGTTGCATTAATGCTGTCCAAACATGCACAAAATGCACTTATGAGATGGGAATCTCATGGACCAAGGATCATCAAAGCCTCCTTCGAAACAAAGAAGAGGGCACTTCAGTGAACATCATCCAATGCTATGCACCTACCACTGACTACAATGAAGATGCTAAAGATCAACTCTACGACAGGTTGCAATCAATCGTCGAGAATTGCCCAACAAAGGACCTGACCATCCTGATGGAATATTTAAATGCCAAGGTTGGGATGGACAACACCGGATATGAAGACATCATGGGACGACATGGACTGGGAGAAAGGAACGAAAATAGTGAGAGATTTGCAAACCTATGTGCCTTCAATAAACCGGTCATAGGTGGCACCATATTCCCACATAAACGCATTCACAAAACCACATGGACTTCACCGGATCACACTACGCAAAACCAAATCGACCATATCTGCATCAACAAAACGTTCAGGAGGACTAAACAGTACGTGAGAACCAAGAGAGGAGCTGTAATAGCATCAGATCATCACTTGCTGGTCGCCAAGATGAAATTGAAACTCAAGAAGCACTGGACAACGGGGCGGACAATATCACAAAAGTTCAAAACGGCCTTTCTTCAGGATACTGACAAACTCAACAAATTCCAGATAGCCCTCAGCAATAGATTCCAGGCCTTTCATGATCTACTCAATGGAGAAGGAACTACTATGGAAAACAACTGGAAGGGGATCAACGAAGCAATCACTTCAACATGTCATGAGGTTCTGGGACACAAGAAGCACCATCACAAGGAATGGATCACTGTTGATACACTGGACAAGATTCAAGAAAGGAAGAACAAGAAGGCAGCAATGAATACCAGTCGAACAAAAGCAGAAAAAGCCAAGGCACAAGCTGATACACAAAAGTAAACAAGCAAGTGAAGAGGAGCATCAGAACTGACAAGCGTAAATATGTGGAAGATTTAGCAATGACGGCGGAAAAGGTTGCAAGAGAAGGAAACATGAGACAACTGTATGACACGACAAAGAAACTGTCAGGAAATCAGGGTGAACCAGAACGACCAGTGAAAAGCAAGGACGGCAAGGTAATCACCAATATTGAAGAGCAACAAAACAGGTGGGCAGAACACATCAAAAAACTCTTAAATCAACCAGCTCCACTGAACCCACCCAATATCGAAGCAGCACCCACGGACCTCCCAATCAATGTTGCCCCACCAACAATTGAAGAGATCAGCATGGCCATCAGACAAATCAAGAGTGGCAAAGCAGCAGGACCAGACAACATTCCAGCAGAGGCACTAAAAGCAGACGTAGCGGCAACTGCAAGGATACTCCACATTCTCCTCAATAAGATTTGGGATGAGGAACAAGTACCAAAGACTGGAAAGAAGGACACCTCATCAAATACTAAAGAAAGGTGATCTCAGCAAGTGTGATAACTACAGGGTATCACTCTTCTCTCAATACCCGGAAAAGTCTTCAACAGAGTATTGTTAAACAAAATGAAGGAGTCCGTAGACGCCCAAATTTGAAACCAACAGGCTGGATTTCGTAACGATCGATCGTGTACAGACCAAATTGCAACTCCACGGAACATTGTGGAATAATCAATTGAACGGAATTAATCACTCTAAATCAACTTCATTGACTACGAAAAGCATTTGATAGCGTGGACAGAACAACACTATGGAAACTTCTTCGACACTACGGCGTGCCTCAGAAGATAGTCAATACCATACAGGATTCCTATGATGGATTAAACTGCAAAATCGTGCATGGAGGACAGTTGACAAATTCAACTCGCAAACGCAACAACAAATGCAGGAGAAGACGAACAGTGTGGCAGCAGCCTCAGCAGCAGTAGGTCTCAATATACACAAAGGGAAAAGCAGGATTCTCCGATACAACACAGAATGCACCAATCCAATCACAATTGACGGAGAAGATTTGGAAGATGTAAAAACCTTTAACATATTTGGGCAGCATCATTGATGAACAGGGTGGGTCTGATGCAGATGTGAAGGCACGGATCGCAAAGCAAGAGCAACATATTTACAACTGAGGAACATCTGGAACACAAAACAACTGTCTGTCAGCCAACACCAAGGTCAGGATTTTCAATACAAATGTCAAGACAGTTCCACTATATGGGGCGGAAACCTAGAGAACTACGAAAGCCATCATCCAGAAAATACAGTGTTTATTAACAGTTATCTACGCAAAATACTTCGGATCCGTTGGCCGGACACTATCAGCAACAACGTACTGTGGGCGAGAACAAGCCAGATCCCAGTGGAGGAAGAAATCAGGAAGAAGCTCTGGAAGTGGATAGGACACACATTGAGGAAAGCACCCAACTGCGTCACAAGACAAGCTCTCAAATGGAATCCTCAAGGCCAAAGGAAAAGAGGAAAACCAAAGAACACATTACGCCGGGAAATGGAAATAGACATGAGAAAAATGAACAAGAATTGGATGGAACTAGAAAAGAAGGCCCAGGACAGAGTGGGTTGGAGAATGCTGGTCGGCGGCCTATGCTCCATTGGGAGTAACAGGCGTAAGTAAGTAAGTAAGTGACAATATGAAGAATACCTAGATAAAACAAGGGGAAGCGAAGACAAACAATAATAAAAAGTGAAGTAAATGCGTAGATAAGTAAATTTCGTCGTTCAACTAAAAAAACAAATAATTGTAACTGGTCACGAACAAGTAAAATATTATTTTCAGTCAAACAAAAATGAATACAGGAAAGAAACACCGGATGAGTGAAGAAGAGCTTGAAAGGATTCACACATAAAAAATATCCCCAACTTTAATAAACTGTCATACGGAAGACAGTATGCAAGTTATTTGTGAACAATATAGTTCGCAGAACGTTTCTCATATAGACTAGCGACTTTTATCAGTTTTAGCCTTCAATTCATGAGTCCACAACTTCATAAAGTGTCATTTAAGGGAAAGCTGCTTCCGTGATCCGCGAAACAAGTATCAAGAAGAAATCCTCAACACCTATGAATCACACACAGTTCCGAGAAAATATGAAACATTTCAAGAACTGACTACGTTTAATTTGTCTTTAGGCTGTCTTGTCGATACGTTTAGACCACATTAACTGGTCCTTTATATCGGCCTCAGATACAGTGGCTAGACTCTAAAAAGACTACCAAGAAAATATCGTTCATCCCAAACCAAACATTTCAATCCGTGAAAGACCTACTTTTCAAGAGAGAGAACTGATAGGCCGGACAATTTCGAATAGATTACATGTTATAAGGCTGAGCAGACCATATGTTATTCGAAAGCCAGTGGGAGAAAAATACAAATGTAAATGGGTCTATTGTGTGTGAGATGATTATTATTTTGACCAGTGTCATTATTCATATATCCCTGTCTGAGTCAATACTTATATGTATACTCATGGGTACTGAATAAATTTTCAAGTTTCAGTAATAATGTTTCCACCATAAACTTAATCTTCTCTGCATAGATAATTTGGTGAGTACTAAGAAGTATGTATTAATTGCTGAATCAAACTGCTAAAAAACATCACATCCTGGGGGACAAAGATGGGAATAGGAGTAAATTTTAGACATAATACAGACATTCATTTGATTGGTGTTCGTGCAAACAATGGATTCAACCTGTCGACCTTTCACGCCTTCACATAATCAACATAAAATGATGCACTATAATGCACTATAAAGTTACCGTTCAATAGTAAAAGATTTATAAACAGATAATTAAACATATTTTTTACTATAAGCAAAAAAAACAACAAACAAACGGACGAACATAGTAAACAGTTACAATAATTCACATAAACTATCACTCTTACCCATTTTTTTCGGTAATAAATACACATCATTTTTATAACGACCAGCAGGAGCATTGTACAATTCAATCAAAGCTAATATCTGAATAAAAATTATACAAATCAATTAGAGTAAACAAATTTAAAATATTTTTTACCAAAAAGAAGAAAACACATATGTTTTGTTTAAGTTTATAAATTTTAGGATCAAACATAATTTCAATGTAGACCACTATTTTTTTTCATAAAAAAAACAACAGTGGAATTATTCAAATAAAATGAAATTTGCATAACAGAACAAAGACCTTATCATAAATACACAATAATAATAATAAAAGATATGCATTTTATTCCCTTATCCTTGAATAAATAAACAAAATAGAATAGTATAAATGGTTGATTTGCATTCGGCACAACTACATCATACATACAGCAGATAAAATCACAAATTAAACTTGCATAATATTGTTTCTATTATATAATATTTACATGACAGTATTGTTGACATATTAATTTACATTGTGTATTTCTTTTTCATTGTAAAATTTCGTTAGAAATCATGTAAAATTTACTACATCGGTTCATATGTATTTAAAACTATGAATAATTTTATTTGGGTCATAAGTTTGATGTTTGTTTGTTTTTCTTGATTTGAGCACTTGTGAATATAAGATTTATTATACTTACACACACACACACAAAAGAAATGAATTCAAATTTTTGAATAAGTATTAAACGCTGTCAAAAAAAACTAGTTTTTTTTAAATTAATTGATACTATGATACAATAAATGTTCTATGTATTAAAGTATATTCATAGAACAGATAGATCGTGACTAGCAGTGGAATCCAGGATGCCACCCAACTGATAGAAAATTATTTTAAGGTTGTCAACAATTAGATAACTTAAATCATTTCTAACTACGATATAAATGGTAAATATATTGTTAAGAATGATATTCACGAATCTACAATGAATTACTTTTTGTACATGGTTATTATTATTCTCATTACTATTCGCCAAAATTTTTAGCCAGTTGAACTAAAAGATCTTTGTGGAATAAGCATCCTGCATCATTTACAGGTTATATGATTGAATGGAATATGTCTGATTGGTCATTTCTATATTAGACTACACAAATCACTGTAAACTTACATTCTGACAAAAAAGTTTGTTATACGATGGGGTCTTCTTTTCCAGCACAGAATGTCAATCAAGAAAATTAAGATTACAAAGACCAGAACAAAGTGCTCATACTAATTTACTATAGATAATTAAAAGGAGGCTCTTGAAAATATGAACATGTGAAGTACATATCATTCAGTAACAAATAATACATTATTATTTTGATGGAGTTTTGTTCTCTGAGCTGGATGATTTGGTCGTGTAGCTTTTATCGTTCTTCTAAATGACATCATCAGCACAAAATTCATTATTATTGTTTGCCTAATAAACTAGATTATTCAATCTCACTGTGTGAAGTATGAAAACTCATGTTTCCAGGTAACTTCGACTATAGTAAGAAAAGCGAATCAAATAAAGTTAAAATATCAAAACGAATTAATAAAACGATGAATATTTATTAAGTATCATGTTGTCTAGATTCATCTAATGACTAAATGTTCATTTTCAAGCTCTTATGGTGACAAGAAGAACATATAGTTTAAAAGCGGATCATTACGATAAGAATTCTTGTATGTATTAAATGTTGTTTACATTAAAAAACATGTGAAATTATTTATATGGCACAATCGTACCAGGTACCACCTTATCACTTAAACCAACATTACTAAGTCGTTTTGGTAACTTCAATCAAATGATACTGAGTATATAGTAATAACGTTAAAAAACAATTATCCAAAATAATGAACTCAGTTTATCGCAAACTAACTTGAGTACTGGCGCTAACAGAGACAACAATCGATGGAACAGTTGAACAGCTTAAATTCGCCAAACGACCCTGAAAGAACAAGAAAATTATCGTAAAGCACAAATAAATTCTAATAGAATCAAAGTTGTAAATAAGTTTAAAAAAGTAATAATTGAAATCCACTTTCTCCTAAACAAAAGCCTGATACACAGTTCAGTTTGTAAACCACATTAGCACAATGAAACGAAATTAAAAAGATGAATTGCAAAGAGGTGGGAATAATGTAGTAGCAATCATAATAGGAAAGACTAATCATTGCGAATATGCTTTGAGAAGACAATGTGTGAAGGTATGAATGAAGGAATACTAGAGTCTACAATAGACAGGAATATAAAGTGAGTGAATGTGTGCCATTTTAACCGACACTATATCACCTGACTGCACATATTTCGCGGACACTAACCAGGTAGTTTGCACTTGTCAAAAACAGACCAAACCAACAGTCAATAACTTCATGAAATGATACTGATACTACGTTTTGGTTTGACCACCCTATTGAAGATATCAAACAATGAAGAGAAAAATAAACCCATATTCAATTAATAAAAATGATTATAAACGAAAACAGAAGTAACATTTCATATGAAAGACATGCTCTAACCTCAGCTATAAGAACAATACGTTTACCATCCATCCAAATAACATGATCCACTTGTGATCGAACACGCTCCCATGTTAAATCAGGTGTTTGAAGAGATCGCTAAACGATTAAGAGATTGAAACAAATATGAGGTATATTATAAAGAAAACATTAATGTATTATTGTCTGAAAATATGATGTTAAAGAACCACATGATCTTTGCGTTTTGAAACACCTCAAATGAGACGTAAAGATCGGGATAGAAATTAGTATGTTACTAATCATATATCATTTAGTACGTGTCGAAGAAATGATTACACCATAGCACAAGTATACATATGAACAATCGCGTCTGATTACTGGGATAAATTAAGACATATCCAACTAAATTGCATTACACATATGTACTAATTTGATGAATACATGAATAAGGTTAGTACAAGGGGACATTTTTCGTAAACAAACCGTCGAAGGTCTTTAAATGACATAAAAAAATCAGTTATAAAAACACATTTAATAGCTAATCACAACTGAAAAAAAGCCAGAGAAAATTTAATAATATACCTAAACAACAATTTTTACAAAATGGAATTTACTTAGATGGATTTCTAAGAAAATCCAAGTGATTTTATACGTATATGGATGACTTTCTCGAACTTTTAGTATAATTCCCCTCTGAGGTCAAAAGATCACGTAATTAGAATCCGCCAATTAACCCTTGGCTTTAGCATATCGTTTATTATAATTATATTTACTTAAATGCATTTCATTGGTGTCGACCTTTAAGTCTAAGTGTAAACCTGTGCATTAGTGTTGAACCATAATAAGACGCTAACTGACAAGAAACACTTCTCTGCTCAAGTTGTACACTTAACAACAAAATTAAATCATATAATCTGTTAAGAGTTTTCGATAAGCTGAAAAATTAAATAAGTTTATAGGTTTATAATAATAAATGACATAGCTACTACCGCAAAACAAGCTAAGAATTCCGAAGTACCTATGCTGCATTTGTTTGAAATGTTAGCTATAGGTTGGATAAGCTGATAGAAGCAGCATAGATTTTCTTGACTAAGATATAAGGACAAAACCCTATAGGTTACTAGTTATAATTCAAACATTTACATAGTTATCAATGAATGTCAACAACAAACTATTGCTCGCTTCAATAGAATACAACTATTAAGTTGAATTTCTCTATTAACGAGTATGCAGTAAATACAAATGTTTCATATTACTGACTAAATAAAGACTGAGAAATTTATAAGGAGATGTGTTAGATTAGAGTTTAATATTGTTATTTTATTCAATGAATAATTGACATTTTCTTATTTTGACTATATCAAAAGGCGAACTAGGTTATAATTGATCAGATAACTTTTGATAAAATGTTTACCGAAATCATGAACTGAATATCTATCTATATAAATGTATATTAATGAAATCGTTTGCAGCCAAAAACATTTGTACAAAATTAAAGTGTAAGTAAACACATACAACATCGATTTCTGTGTTAGAATGACCCATATTGCATACGACACAACCATTTTTCATTTGATCCATATGGGCTCGAGTAATGACACCTTTATTCCCGGTGCAAGTAACCACAATATCCACTGAACGAATAACTTCGTCGATTTTTACAACACGATAACCATCCATGCTTCGAAATAAACAGAAAGACAAAAATAAATAGAAATTCTGAGAAATCTCAAGCTACTATTTATAACACTTCGGCATTCCACCAAAACCTGAATCATTTTAACACTAAAAAGCATTCGTGGAATGTTATTCAAAGACCTTGTCTGGTTCTGAAGTTACTCAACAGTATATATATATATATATTCAATGGCTGTTTTACTCAACTCGGTTCGTGTTCTCCATAACAAAGTTACTATCTGTTAAAATAGATTCACCTGGCTCTTTCAATCTGCACGATAAGTACGTGCTCAAGGTCAAAAGCATTGAATTGTGAAGTAGTATTTTGAAATCATTGTGCTCGATAAGAGATCAGAATGTTATTTTCTCAATCATGTGGTGTAAAACAAGATTACCATTTCAAACCAAGACCTAACGGCTATCCAATGTCAGCTGATTATGGAGGAATCTATTTGATATAATTGGTTCAGGACAAAATTACTTTAAAATAAAACTAAGGGAAAAATTCACCAAAAAGGCACAACTCTAACTTCCTATGGAAATGTATCGAATCTTGTGAGAGAAAATAAAAACTTTTGCTTACCAAGCTTGAAGTGCACAGATCGGATCTATTTCCGAAATACAAACGAAAGCTCCTAATCCTCTTAACGCTTGACAAACACCTTTCCCAACTTCACCATAACCGCATACCAATACAGTCTTACCACTGATCATCATATCTGTAGTTCGTTTAAGACTGAAAGGAAGAAGAATTATGAAGATTTTTATTGAAAATTATGCAGTACCAATCATCACTACTATACGTCTGACCATTACTTATGTAAACACATAAACATTGATACGAGGAGGCATCAAATATATATATATATATATATATATATATATATATATATATATATATATATATATATATACCATCGATTTGTGTGAGGGCTGGAACCTCCGAGATGTCTAGCCGAACTTGGTTTTATTTTATTAGTTATTTATTTGAACACGTAAACATTGGTATAAGGGGGCATCAGATACATACACAATAACAATGAGAATGTAAAGAGATAAAGAATGTTAACTTCGTGTAAGAAAAAGGGGAACAATAACGAACAGAAACTAGTGTGTGATAGTAAAATAATAATAATAATAATGGGACGGACAGTTCAGTTAGTAAAGATACAACCAGAAAGAATCATTCCAGTTTAAGAAGTTACGTTCATTTTTTATGAAGAAAGTAAAAGAAAGTCAACGCAGGTTCACCACTGGCTTCTATTCTGAGTCCATATCTGATAACATCTCTAGCCACTGTGTTGCACCATCTCTCGGACCCCAGCCAGGGAAGTCAGTGAACGACCAACAGAAGCCAGCCTTTTGCAGCTTTCTTTCATACCACGACACCATGTCAGACACTGACCACCTCTCCGCTTTTTCTAACCAGTCCCAGCGTCGGCAAATAATGCACGACGATGAATTCTCTGGGGCGACATTCGTAGCACATGTCCAGGCCACCGAAGTCGATGTTTTAAGATGGTGATACCAATTGGATTATCGTCTCTGTGCCCGAACACACAATGCCGAACCTCCGCATCACTAACATGATGTTGCCACTGGATGTCAGCAATCCTTCAGAGATAGCGATTATCAAACACAGAGTCGTCTGACATCCTTTACTCAGAGAGGCCAGGTTTCACAAGCATAGAGCGAAACTGCTATCACCGACGCGTTGTAGATCCGAACTTATACAGCCAGACTAGCATCACGAAGGCGCCAAAGATGGCCCAGGTTGGCATAAGCCGCTCTGTCTTTCATTATACGTGCATTGATCTCATCACTCACGATACCACCAGCACTTATGCACTGCACTGCCCAGATATACGAACTTCCCGACTACTTCTATCCGCTCACTGCCCATGGTGAGTACAGGATTAGAATCCTGCTAGTCTTGTAGACGTACTTTGCACTCCGAAGGTGCAAAGCATATACCGATATCGACAGTTAGATTAGCAAAACCGCAAGTAGACTATTTTCTGTTTTTCGAAAATTTTAAAACTTCTAAAATTACGTTATTACAGTGGTATACTATGGTGAGACTGAAATAACACCCTTGAAGACCAAAGTAGCTAACGTAACTAGGTCAGGTTCATTTCCTAATTCGGGTCACTTGAATAATTCCTAATTTTCGAATTAGTTGTGGCGTTGATGTAAATACATCAAATTGTTGCTTGTTTCATCAATCAGTAACAACAAGGTAGCTACATATCAGCTGAAAGACAACGCCAACACCAGTACAACATAAAATGTCTTCCATGTTTTAATACCGGCAAGTTTGGTTTCTCCGAAAAGACCACATTCATTAACTTCAAATTTTCAGCTGTATAACAACTGCAGACGGAGATATGAATGAAGTTGCAAAAATTATAAACGGAAAATAGTAATATGTTTAATGATATGAAATGCCTACTGTTAATTACATTTTAGGTAACAGATATTAATATTCCAAACTGAGGCAAACGAATTTAACCGAGTACTCCCTCCGAATTCGGAATTTCTCAGTTGAATATCATAAAGATCAGGTTAATGAATTAAGCTTCTATTCTACTGCTTAAAGCTCTACACACACAACCAAATTTTTTCAAAAATCAGTGGTTTATAAGGCCTATTGTATCAATTAATAGAGATTTAAAACACTGTAAGCTGCAAAACTTGTCAAATCCAGATGTGGTTTTAAAAGCATACATAGGAGGCAATATGCAAGTATTAACCGTAGAAGTAAAAAGTGAAGATGAAGTAAAATGGTTGAAGACGATAGAGGTGTATCGTTGGATGATACATACACCTAACCCTAGATATAGTAGAAGTGTTAATAGAATTTGGAATGTCATGGAATAACTTGAAAATTATATGTTCAAAGCTACTGGAACATTAATGTTAACAATCTTTCAGATTTCTTGGAAATTAGTCGGGTATATAATCCCAAAATGCCTTGTATATCACGAAATATATATATATATATATATATATATATATATATATATATATATATATATATATATATTGTTATATGGTTTCATATGACGGTATCAAAACTTACGAATCAACAATTGATTCTTTGCACAAATAGAAATTATCGAACTTGGACTTTGTTATACTGTCGCTAATATTCATAGCCGGCACTCCCAATGTGCCAGATTTCACGTACTGATAAAGACGATGAACACCTGTCACACTTTCTTCAACTATTCCACATATACCAGACAGTAGTTCCTTGTAATTTTTATGCAGCTGATGAGTTAAGTCCCCACCATCATCCAAAACCTGAGAGGAGAAATAGAAAAAAATATGAAAAATCAGAATAAAGCATTAATCTGTTTGAAATGGGAAATCCAATATATCTTAGAAACACAAGTTGGTTAGAAGTAATAAAAATTGTATCGAAATCACGAACCAATCCCAGTAAGAAAACTAGCAGAAACCTAGGAGCACCGGACGGCCGTCTGATTTACGTATGGGATTCCTCAGCACTGCGTGTCCACAACAATCTAACATGATCAAACAAACTGGACCATTAATGTAAAACACATCAATAGTGACATAATCACACGGAAGTAGGATGAGAGGGCTAGTCTTTACAAATGAGCTTGTTTCGATGAAGAGCAGTCAAATTGATTAACAACAATGTATGACCAGTATTTGCATGAAATTTAGAAAAACTTTGAGGTGGTTCACTGAAAAAGAAATTGAAATAGAATACCCAATAGTAAGAAACGTTAAATATAAGCCCTAGTTACGATTAAGAGTCACGGTGGTAAGTTGAAGCGAGGAAGTAACAGTATAAAATATTATTAATGTTTTCGGGATCACTATAGAACACATATTTGAGGGCTTAAAATCTATAACCCTCATTTAACCTTATACATAAAGCAAATTATTTATCAAACAGAGAAATTTATGATTATTTTGAAAATGTTAGTAATATGAAAGGAACTAATGTTGAAATACTATATGATATTATGATCAAAATGACAAGAAAATGTTAACTGGGAAATTGTTAATTTGCAAAGCATATTATCAACTACACGAAGAAAATATACTAAATTCATTCAACCAGTGTTTGTAGCAAAAGTATTGTAACAGAAATGTTAATCACAGACAGACAAATAAATAATTCACCAGGTATTTGAGTATGAGCCACCGAGTTGCCCGTACTTTATTCGAAGCGATACTTTTCCACTGGTTTGTTTTACTGCGTCAATATTGTAAGTAATGCTGCAATTTTCATTACTGAGATCAAGGTTCTGAATGCATTTATTGTAAAGATTACGTCATATAGCCAACACTTATTTTCTCTAGACTAGACAGTAAGATTAACCTTTGAAATTTGTGATGAATGGATATTCGGCTTGCAAAACAAAACGTGGATTTAGTTCATACATCGTGAGATCAGTTTTATAAAATATTATAGGCATGATAATAAGTAATCCCAGTCTAAGAATATGCAAATGTACGATAGGTTTTACAGTATATATATATATATATATATATATATATATATATATTGTGTAGGCCTTTAGATTAAGACTTTTATGTTTAGTACTCAGAACTTAAAAAGATTATATCAATAAAAACAAGGGTACATCAAAACTACAGAAACACAATGATGGATCATGTTAGTTGTCAAGATAGCTAGTTTTACGACAAACTGATCTATTCAATTATTCTGATGTTTTCAAAATAGTGTTGTTGAACCGAACGAACGATTCAGTAGACACCAACCTGTAAAAACCGGTCGTACACAAACGAAATAGCGACAATAGGGATCATCGTTTCACAATCAATTGAATGAAACTAGCTACCAAACATTAACTTCCTTGATTATGAGAAGACATTTGACGGTTTGGATAGGAGAATATTATAGGAACTTATTCGACACTATGGTGTACCTGAGAAAATCAGTCAACATCATGAGGAATTCATGCGACAAACTACAGTGCAAAGTGGTGCGTGAAGGACAGCTGTCAGATGCATTCCAAGTGAGGACCGGAATGTATCCACCTTCAATAATTTAGTTGTAAGTTTATTTCGCAAATATACCAACAATAAGGCTTATTTGTTCATCAATATCTTTCTGCATTAAACTGCAACAGTGAGAATTAACAACTCTATTATTCCCTGTCAAAGAAAGTGAAATATAAACCGTTTGTGAAAAAAGTTTCCTTGTCAAGTACATAATTAAGAGGTTATGTTCCACGTTTCTCACGAAAAAAAAACATCACCAAAGTCAAAACAACAAAAGATTAAGAAATAATTTTCAAATATCAGATAAAATTCAACATACAAAGTAATAAGTAGAGAGGATAAAAATATCTGACATACTACGTTGGGTATCCAACCTTCAGCAGATATACAACGACTAATACACCACCAGAAATCCTCTTCAGTTTCGCCTTTCCATGCATAAATAGGAACACCGGACTCAGCTAACGCTGCTGCCACTTCATTCTATAAACAAACAAAAAGTATTTTAGTGGTAATAAAAATAATTACACAGTATTACCAGTGTTAATACAATAATTACAGTATCAACGAACATCAAAAAGCGGAAAAATCTTGAGCATACAAAGATGATCGTCATGTAATTATTAATGGGAAAATAAAACTAATAGTAGTGAAAATTAGAACGGCTGCTAAGTTAAGATAATTCAGAGGAAATGCGTTCATTAAAATTATCTTATATATTTTTGTGTTGTTTATAAGTACAATACAAAAAAGACGATAGAACAGCCAACAATTAAAAGATCTCATATTGCTTAGACTACTACTCTGCCAGACAATGATAACAAGGAAAAGCCGGGAGAGATTAACTCTTAGTTGTTAAATGATTCATTAAAAAGTAAGTGAAGTGCGTTTTAATTTAAAAAGAAATAGAATGGATCAATGGAAAGAGTATTGAGCTGCATAGTTCTATTATTCATCACATGACGGTGGAAATAGATACAAATAGCTTTTATAGACTAAGAATAAACCCCTTTTAACATTACATTTGAATACTATACATAAAACTATTAAATACATGAATTTTCTTTTTTGCAAGAAAACAACAGAACAACTTTGATCTAGGAGTTGTGTTATTTGCTCATACTCATAAGTTTATAAGTTGTAACTTCAAGAAAATTTATGGTCTGATTTGAAACACTACCAAGTTATTAAATCACATGACACTGTCCTGGTATGATATCATATAATAATTAAACTGTTTTTCATAGTCAACAGAGCACAATGACAACTAATGATTGGTGGAATAACAACAAAGACTATAATAATCTGGAAACACAACTAATGTATCATTAGACTTGACTTGATAAATTCAAACAAATAAGGCATTGGGTAAATTGTTAACTAAAAAAATAATATATTTGTAATATCTCAATCGGTTACTTGTGAGTTTATTTTGAAAATATACCCACTTTAATCAAAAATATAAAAGCTGTAAGATTTTGCACAAACGAGGCTATTTTATTTCTAATCATCCTTCTTCATTAAACATTCTTTCTACTCATTGGGATATTAAAAATATATTAATTCTATTAGTAATACATTATTAAATACCAACGCCTGAAACGAAGAACTATCTTTTCAACAAATTTTCTTCAGGTTCCACAATTTTATAAATTCAGGTTAATAATCTAAAAGGTTGCCAAGTTTAAGGCAAAATACATCTAACTCATATTATTTATTCTGACCATTAATCTTACAATTTCATTTAATGTATAAGGTTATTCAAGTTAATATAGGATTTCAACAGTTAAATTCATGAGACTACCATTGAAAACCTGGAAACATTGGATGACCTGGCACAGGACTTCTCAGCAGTGATCACCCACGATCTCACACGAAAGATGCGAACCCAGACCTTCGATCTCGCGCCCAAACGCTGTGAGAATAACCTCAATCGCCACAAATTTACATGCTGATAACACTAGATATTAAACATTTCAACATTCACAGTTTATGTTATCTTCCAAACAATCCTAAATTTCTGCGTTATAAACTTATTTTGTTTTGAACCTGGTCACTTTCTGAACTCTTAACTATATATAATTGTAAAGGAAGAAAACTTATTGAAAAGCATATCCTTCATGCATATATTATTAAATAGTATTGATACAGAGAAATATTACAAACTAATACTTCACATTCCCAGAAAATACAAGTGTTTATTAACAGTTATCTATGCAAAATACTTCGGATCCGTTGGCCGGACACTATCAGCAACAACGTACTGTGGGCGAGAACAAACCAGATACCAATGGAGGAAGAAATCAGGAAGAAGCTCTGGAAGTGGATAGGACACACATTGAGGAAAGCACCCAACTGCGTCACAAAACAAGCCCTCACATGGAATCCTCAAGGCCAGAGGAAAAGAAGAAGACCAAAGAACACGTTACGCCGGGAAATGGAAATAGACATGAGAAGAATGAACAAGAATTGGATGGAACTAGAAAAGAAGGCCCAGGACAGAGTGAGTTGGAGAATGCTGGTCGGCGGCCTATGCTGCATTGGGAATAACAGGCGTAAGTAAGTAAGTAAGTAAGTAATACTTCACATTCAAACGTAAGTTCCAAATGATTATTCCAATAGAAATACAGAATAATTGCTTCATCAAATATACGTTTTGATCAACGAATAACTATCAAATTGCAGCGAAACAATACACATATATTTAATTAATTGTCTGAACCAATTAATTTATGAAGAAACTACTGATTTCACAGTACATATGTATTTGGCATTAATAAATCATTTGATAGAAATATTTTTGAGAAAAAAAAACATTTAAATAAGTCAGTTTTCATCATCATTGCGCACAGTATGTGATATAAACTAAATCATGAAGTTTAACAACTACAAAGAAGTATATGAAATATGTCAGTCAATCAGTGAAACAATATTTTGTTGATGCTTATTTTTCAACATCGGAACTTGTGACTGATTTTATGTTTGTGAAACTTTTTCACTGAATAATTTTCAAGCAAAAGATATTTTTAGACACAGTGAAGTAGACAGCTAACAGACGAAATGAAGACTTATTGACATAATTTGTTGGTATCCAGCGAACATTAACTCTCAATTATTTTATCCGTTACATCAAGATATGAAATAGAAATTTCTACAACGTTTATGATTATGAATTGTGCAAATCATGTAGATTACTTTACTGAAAAAACTGCATACAACGAACCTTTTAAACATGTACAATCCAAAACTATTGAAAAAGAAACTTTTCTAACATGGCCAATACATAACAGCACAAAAATGGCTTACCTGTGTTGAATATATATTACAAGCACACCATCGAACTTGAGCGCCAAGACATACCATTGTTTCAAGTAGTACCTAATTGATAGAAAAAAGTCTTTCTAAATGAATAAAATGTGCATCTAAACAAGAAAGTAGAAATGAGAATAATTCATATTGAGAAGATTCAGTGGATTTTCATCATCAGCTAATCAATTTCAAAAATAAAATGATAGAAGTGCAAAGAATTATATGATTTTGAACTCGCTGTATTTAATTAATTAAACATGTTACAGTATATAGGCATGTGTCCGATAACCGGAAGAAGAAATTAAAACTTAATTGAACAAAAAATTCTAAAGTTCATGTAAGCCGTATTTTCTACACGACTTTCTAGGCAAATATAACTGGGGCTTAGAAGTAGTGGATCGCGGCTAGCAGTAGAATTCAGGACACTTATATTATCTCATCCAAAACTCAACAACCTAACGAACCTTTGTCTCAGCGTTCACACTGGGACATGAACTATGTACCTTTCGCTTCTAATGACCAACGCGCTATTTGTTGAGCTACTGAGTTTAGATAGCTATCAACTCGTTTAATGGGTATGCTGTTTGCATCATTATTTTTATTGTCATCATTAGAAAGAGTTTGAGTTATCCCGTTGTTTACGTATATTCATCTGCCGAGTCCCAAATACGACGAAACGCATGTACTGAAAATCAATGTTAGCTACAATCAAACTATTCTAAACAAATTATGATATTATCGTAGTATATGCTACTTATGCTGACAGATATAAGTAGTACGAAATCCCAATCAGTAGTGAAAGCCTGGCAGCAGAAAATTGAATGAAGAGAACAGAAAGACCATCGAAGAGCAATCGAAATAACAACAGAACTATGGGGATGGTTGAGTAGGTAAAAAGACAACGTAAAACTGTGAAAATGATGTATTTAATGTATGAGTTTCATATTTTACCAAGCCACTGGGTGATTTTGCACTTAAAAATAAAATGGTTTTCCGTATCTGGATTCTCGTTCACTACACCATATCTATATTGACGTAATCTGCTTAGGATCCACACGTGTCAGCAAAGGCTAATCAAAATTCAGGGTTAATTAATAACGGATTAAATCAAACCAATACAAATAGTGATATGATATTGTAGTGCATGCTACTGATGTCGACAGATATAAGTAGTATGTATCACCAATCGAAAGTGAAATGCCTGCTGGCAAACAGTTGGGGGAATCGAAAAGAAGAGAACGAGAACAGAGGGTAATTGGTGTGGACACGAACAACAACGTTTGAGACAATCGATGCATATTTGGCAAATGAAGTCTTACAGTATGGTTCTCAGATTTTACCAAGATATTCAGTAATGTGTTAAAATACATTTGATCGTTCTGATTTGTTCCTGTTCACTACGATATAAATATTACCGGAATTTCAATTGTGAATACCATTTGATACGCATTATTTCCGTTTTTCGGATAAATATAACATATCAAGGGTCATAAATATCTGTTATACTCCAAAGAATCACATCATACAAATTATATTTGTGGAAATTTCAGCTATGTAAATTAAATTATTTCATTTCCACCCGATAATTCGATCTTAGCTTTTTCAAACGGAATGAGTTGTAAAACATTTAAGAATCGATTAAACGAAAAAAAGAATACATATCCATGGTGTATATAACAATCATTTAAAACTATCGAACTACAATGTACAAAACAGAAACAAATCTCGCGGTTAAAAATCCTCACTCACAGCTGTATGCGCAGTCACGTGTGTACAACCGAGAATTTTGGCTCCTTTTAATGGCTGATCAGTTTTAGCACGCTTTCTTAATGCCATCAAACCAGGCATTTCTTAAATAAGTAATAATAAAAAAATCAACCATAGGGGAATGAAGCTAACAGTAGCTCGTTAGTTAGTTTAGTTAATTGATAACAATCCATATTAGTAAACGAACATATATATATAATTTCGATTTAACATTGAAACAAACATAAACAACTATTCTAAATAAAAGAAATTTGAAAAATATCATCGTTATATAATTAAGGTAACTAGTTTGAAAAGTTCAATATCCTATATAAATAATAATTATATCCGGATGTGCATATGTGCCTTTCCCTTTATCGCCTTTATAACTAATACAGTAAAAATTCATTGACAGGATTTCTTAATGTCAAATAACAACCAGTAAAAATACATTTGTTATAATGATAGTAAAAAAAAATTTTTTTAAAGGCATATGATTTACTGAAAAGTTTGATTTTTATTATCTCCAATGTATAAAATGTTAAATAAACAACATACAATTAGGCGTATATACATGCACATATTTTTATTCAAGTTTAATAGATATATATTCTTAACAATATAGAAATGAATAAAAAGTTAATTATATATATTATAATATTTATTATGATCATGTTATTAAAAAGTCAAGTGATAGTAACTAGCTGTTTTCAAAATATTGGTGGACACTATTTTTTTTTGTTGAAAAATTTGTACATGTGAATGATACTATCTTATGTTTAATCAGTCGGTAACATGTGGAGTGAGAAAATATATAAATAGAAAAAAATTTTTTGTTTTACGAAAAATAAAACAAACTAGTTGTGCTTTTTGTTTTCAATCACTGTCAATAAGGACAATGTAAAATACCATTTTACCTATTAACACGTGTTTTGTTGAATGTAACGGAAAAAATAAAAGCTATGAGATTAGTTATGAACTTCAATGTAATAATCTATATACTAATATAAGATGGTAGATAAATGCCAGTTTAAAATAAATTAAGCTTTTCAAATAATGAACTAGGAAAAGTTCAGTTGGATTAACGTTCAAAAGTATTATTCTTAAAGAGTTAGAGACGTTTCTTTACTAATGAAATATAGTTTATCGAACAAAAGGAACATGAAAAACAATTAAAAAGACTACATTGATGTTAACAACCGTTTCTGCAATTAGCAAACTGTTAATAGAGAATTCCGTAAATTTAATGAGACTGTTCACTGGAATAAAGCCATAACCAATAAAACGATTGACTGAACACGATGATATTTTATACTACCCAGTGAGTTACTAACAAAGAAAATTGATTCTTAATTTAAAATTGAATTAACTTATTCACCAGGTATTGGGTAAGGAGCCACCACACTCTAAATATCCAGGATTGATGAGCATAAACAGTTGCTCAAACCCAAAGCAGGCGAGGGGGTTTCGAACCTAAGATTTACTAGTAAAAATTCGAAACCCCATAATTACCAAGCCACCGCTTCATCTTATCCTACAAGTGTATAAATAAACATCCAGTTAGTTACTTGTTTAATTATCAGACAACCGTTTACTTTAGGAGTCTGTATCATTAAAATATGATTTTTATGAGTAAATGTTACTAAGTAACAATTCACTTTAATTTCAACTGACTAATAAGTAACTAGAACCACATGAATATATTAAGTGTTTCCAGTATAACATTGCAATAATTACAGGTGGAAAAGTGAACATTAACGATGATTTTAACTAAAAAAAGTATAAAAACTTCAAAAGGGCAGTGGATGTACAACCAAGTTAGCAAATTAATAACAGACACAAATTCACAAGTAAACTTAATTCAAAAAACAGTAAAGACAACTGAGAAGAGCATAAAGTCAAGTGGTTGCTGAAGAATGAACAACAGCCCAACAGATTATGTAAATCCAGTGATAGGGAAAAGTAGGCTGACTTAAAGAGTAAAATTAGCGGAGCTTTGATAATGAGAAAAAATATTCTCAAGTGGATCCTTAAGAATAATGCTATGGAATAAAGACGATACAGATGCTTTCGACCGTAAGCGGTTGGATTTATAAAATGTAATCAAGTCACATTATTTCTGTATCAATATTATTCTAGCTACATTGAAATTCATAAAAAAAAGTATCAACTGTATAACACTGTAATTACCTTGTTCAGCTATTTCAATTTCTCTACGTCCAAAAGAAGCTTGACGGATTTTTGAACACAGAAATCATTAAATCCTCTAGAGTTTACCTATTATGAGAAAGAAAGAGCCTTTTTAACAGATAAAAAAACCATTCATTTAGAAATTCTTACTTAAACTGAAATTTTTTCCTCTTAACTTTCGTGGAAAGAATAAAAACATATATGCTTAACTTTTGAAGAGAATGTCAATAACAAAGATGTAGTATCGATAACAGAAACCAAGGTTTGAGTGTACAATACCCCTATCGATTAAACTGATAATTCATTAATGATCGGTAGTCAATTTACAAATGACAGTAAGAAGGTAGTATGTGAAGAAAAAATTAGGGAAAAAAATGAAACATACAGAACCAAACGATTTATGAAAATATTACGTGACGATTTCTGAAAAAAGGCAGTGGTAGTAAGTGATGAAAAGTAGAATCTCTAACATAAAACATGACACTCACACACGAAGCTAACGACATCTGGTTTCAGTTGAGTAAATTTTATGCTTTTTCGTTGAGGCAAGTAAAGAAAACAAAATCGTAAAGTTTGAGTAGCATACTATTTTATACAATTTATCACATGCTTTTATTTGCTTATTTCCAGATTTTGTAAAGCTGAACTATGCGAGTGAGTTTGAGCAACTCTTTAGATGATCTTGGTAAATTTTTGATTCATTCAGGTAATCATTAAAATAGCAAATATAAATGACTGATTTATAATGCTAGGACTAGTTTTTAGGTTAATTTTCTTCATATCTCTTTAATAAAAATTCTTTTCAATAGAATTTAATCTCACAATTATATCATCTTTAATTTATCTAACACTGAAGAGCCAAGTGATGCACAATCAGTGTAGTGGTAATGGTAATTTATTTTGTCGTGTTGAGTAGGCAACGTTATAAAAAGGTAATTAACTGTTTTAAACTTTAAGCATACATCTATTTAAAAATGGTGGTGATTCGATGAAGTAGAACACATAATCAGATGGTAATCCAACAAAGTTCCGTAAATTTTAGTCGTAATGAAAATGCAACGACAAAAACGAAAACAAATTTGTAAAATTTGCGTTTTTTTCCGTCAATAATTATATCACCTTGAGTTTTTGAACAACCATCAGACTATTTCTTATTATCATATTAAACTAACAGAATGAAACATATAAGGTGATATATTTTTACGAAACTTACAGCTCTAAGTCCAGGTTTCAAATAACGTTCCTTTGGATTTTCACGTTGTTGACTTTCTTCATCATCATCATCTGAACTAGATCCAGTATATGATGCTAAATAATAAAAGTTAAATGAATAGCTTGGCTTTGATAAACAGAACTGTATAAAATACAACTCTATAACATATTGATGAGAAGCTGATCAGTAAAGTTAAAGAATTTTAAAGTAAACAGATATAATTAACTCAATTATGTTGATCATACCAGGTGAAAGTAATTTCAATATTTAAAAATGATCAACACGATAGTAAAAATAGTGATTAAATCAATTTCTTTCAACACTTATTTTTTTCCCAATTAAGCGGAATAATTTAGTGTACAGTAAACAATTTTAACTATTGAAAACTAAAGAGATTAGTTGAGGTGAAACTGGCCCACTTAACGTGCCTTTTAGAAAGACGTGTTTTTTGTTTTTATAATCGTTCAATGAACTCCGCCTGAAGTCACTCCAGGGGCTACCGCCGATCCCAAGCCCGGATAAAGGGGGAGGGTTGGACACGGGGTTAGCGACCTCGTCCCGTAGAAAACCAACCCGCTAAAAAAACGCTAACCAGAAAAAAATATTCAAACCATTTAAGCACTGTCCTGGGAGTCAGAAGGTCTTCATTTATGACGCCTGATGATGAAAGCCGAGTTCCTTCGGGTTTCACGAGACCGATGTGGGAGACTGGGAGTCTTCCAAATTGCTGCGAAAATGAGGAGATATAACCTACAGGTGCATGGAATCAGTGAAACACATTGGACGCAAGTTGGACAACAACGACTAGCTTCAGGGAGCTTCTGTTATACTCCGGCCATGAAGAAGAAAATGCCCACATCCACAAGGAGTTGCATTAATGCTGTCCAAACATGCACAAAATGCACTTATGAGATGGGAATCTCATGGACCAAGGATCATCAAAGCCTCCTTCGAAACAAAGAAGAGGGCACTTCAGTGAACATCATCCAATGCTATGCACCTACCACTGACTACAATGAAGATGCTAAAGATCAACTCTACGACAGGTTGCAATCAATCGTCGAGAATTGCCCAACAAAGGACCTGACCATCCTGATGGAATATTTAAATGCCAAGGTTGGGATGGACAACACCGGATATGAAGACATCATGGGACGACATGGACTGGGAGAAAGGAACGAAAATAGTGAGAGATTTGCAAACCTATGTGCCTTCAATAAACCGGTCATAGGTGGCACTATAATCCCACATAAACGCATTCACAAAACCACATGGACTTCACCGGATCACACTACGCAAAACCAAATCGACCATATCTGCATCAACAAAACGTTCAGGAGGACTATAACAGTACGTGAGAACCAAGAGAGGAGCTGTAATAGCATCAGATCATCACTTGCTGGTCGCCAAGATGAAATTGAAACTCAAGAAGCACTGGACAACGGGGCGGACAATATCACAAAAGTTCAAAACGGCCTTTCTTCAGGATACTGACAAACTCAACAAATTCCAGATAGCCCTCAGCAATAGATTCCAGGCCTTTCATGATCTACTCAATGGAGAAGGAACTACTATGGAAAACAACTGGAAGGGGATCAACGAAGCAATCACTTCAACATGTCATGAGGTTCTGGGACACAAGAAGCACCATCACAAGGAATGGATCACTGTTGATACACTGGACAAGATTCAAGAAAGGAAGAACAAGAAGGCAGCAATGAATACCAGTCGAACAAAAGCAGAAAAAGCCAAGGCACAAGCTGATACACAAAAGTAAACAAGCAAGTGAAGAGGAGCATCAGAACTGACAAGCGTAAATATGTGGAAGATTTAGCAATGACGGCGGAAAAGGTTGCAAGAGAAGGAAACATGAGACAACTGTATGACACGACAAAGAAACTGTCAGGAAATCAGGGTGAACCAGAACGACCAGTGAAAAGCAAGGACGGCAAGGTAATCACCAATATTGAAGAGCAACAAAACAGGTGGGCAGAACACATCAAAAACTCTTAAATCAACCAGCTCCACTGAACCCACCCAATATCGAAGCAGCACCCACGGACCTCCCAATCAATGTTGCCCCACCAACAATTGAAGAGATCAGCATGGCCATCAGACAAATCAAGAGTGGCAAAGCAGCAGGACCAGACAACATTCCAGCAGAGGCACTAAAAGCAGACGTAGCGGCAACTGCAAGGATACTCCACATTCTCCTCAATAAGATTTGGGATGAGGAACAAGTACCAATAGACTGGAAAGAAGGACACCTCATCAAGATACTAAAGAAAGGTGATCTCAGCAAGTGTGATAACTACAGGGGTATCACTCTTCTCTCAATACCCGGAAAAGTCTTCAACAGAGTATTGTTAAACAAAATGAAGGAGTCCGTAGACGCCCAAATTTGAAACCAACAGGCTGGATTTCGTAACGATCGATCGTGTACAGACCAAATTGCAACTCCACGGAACATTGTGGAATAATCAATTGAACGGAATTAATCACTCTAAATCAACTTCATTGACTACGAAAAAGCATTTGATAGCGTGGACAGAACAACACTATGGAAACTTCTTCGACACTACGGCGTGCCTCAGAAGATAGTCAATACCATACAGGATTCCTATGATGGATTAAACTGCAAAATCGTGCATGGAGGACAGTTGACAAATTCAACTCGCAAACGCAACAACAAATGCAGGAGAAGACGAACAGTGTGGCAGCAGCCTCAGCAGCAGTAGGTCTCAATATACACAAAGGGAAAAGCAGGATTCTCCGATACAACACAGAATGCACCAATCCAATCACAATTGACGGAGAAGATTTGGAAGATGTAAAAACCTTTAACATATTTGGGCAGCATCATTGATGAACAGGGTGGGTCTGATGCAGATGTGAAGGCACGGATCGGCAAAGCAAGAGCAACATATTTACAACTGAGGAACATCTGGAACACAAAACAACTGTCTGTCAGCCAACACCAAGGTCAGGATTTTCAATACAAATGTCAAGACAGTACCACTATATGGGGCGGAAACCTAGAGAACTACGAAAGCCATCATCCAGAAAATACAGGTGTTTATTAACAGTTATCTACGCAAAATACTTCGGATCCGTTGGCCGGACACTATCAGCAACAACGTACTGTGGGCGAGAACAAGCCAGATCCCAGTGGAGGAAGAAATCAGGAAGAAGCTCTGGAAGTGGATAGGACACACATTGAGGAAAGCACCCAACTGCGTCACAAGACAAGCTCTCAAATGGAATCCTCAAGGCCAAAGGAAAAGAGGAAAACCAAAGAACACATTACGCCGGGAAATGGAAATAGACATGAGAAGAATGAACAAGAATTGGATGGAACTGGAAAAGAAGGCCCAGGACAGAGTGGGTTGGAGAATGCTGGTCGGCGGCCTATGATCCATTAGGAGTAACAGGCGTAAGTAAGTAATAGTTCAATAATAACTCCCTAGGTATTGAAAACTGTATGAATAAAACTTATCACTGAATTATTATTAATCCTAAATCAAACTCTATTTACTATCATTTAATACTGCACACAGTGAGTGCATCGTAATGTCAAATCATTTATTCTAAAATTAACTTGAGAATTATTAACTCAGCACTAATCATTGAAGTGTGACATTGACTTTTAAACATCGCTAACAGTTCACTTATTAACTAAAATTTGCTGACTTATGTAGTCTAAGTTTTACAGATATGGAAATGAACGGGTATATTTCATACTGGAACGAAGAGGACTCAAAGTTTACAAAAAAACAACGAACAAGGATGTGCATCTCTTAAAATCAGTTATTAATTTCCAGATCGATAGTTTAGCATTGAGAACAAGCAAAACAATATCTACAAGAGTGAACTTTTCAAGGGTATTGTGTATTGATCCATTAAAAAAATGGCTTTTTAATCACGAATGAAAAACAAGAGTATTTATGTATCTTTGTGTGTGCTATTTTTTTATCTGAAAGCATGAAATCAGGCAACATCGTTACTGCCGTACGATTTAAATTGAAAATATGTTCTTATAAACGTATTGTTTTCTAATTATAAATGACGGGAGTTGGGAAAAATACTGGTTTACAATATACCACAAACCAGTACTTAAAATTGAAGTTTAAAGCTCTATTCCATTATGGGTACATAAGGCTTGATCGGGACGTGTTCTAATGTCACTTCCACTGAAGGGCATACACTTTGCATGAAATGAGAAAGCAATACAACACCTATTAATCCATTACTTATGAACTAATATTCTGTAGATAGATTAACTGACTGATTATTATGGACTAGACGACGTGGTGAATAGAATACAAATTGAATCCGGTTATTCAGTAAAAAAAAGTCATAGTTTATTTAGTACATTGTCAGAAAGTAAACTGTTTTCGATTTCCAAATGTATTTCAAAAAAATATTTAGACCTAGTCAATGAACGAGAAATGAATAATATTACATCATTACTGTTATGAAGAATTCAGTGTTTATGATTGATAATCAGATGTAACAAGTTAGACAGTATGATCCACATAAATTTTTTTATAAACAACTACCTACCATAAGCTCAGTTCATTTGGACGAATATGTTTTTTATACAAAATTAGGACATAACAAGACACACATTAAAGTTCAGATGCCGAAATACAAAAATGAACAATATGATACAATTAATAGCGTTTATAAAATTTAATTTCTTAAACACAAAACTAACGATAATAAAGAAGCGACTCAAAGTAACCGTAACAATTAGATATGAACCTTCATCAAATCAGTAATACAATAGTCAATTTGCTGCAATGTAGGACCAGGCACGTATATGCACCTCATTGGCACAACAGGATGAAAACCACAATCATAAAAGTTGCTATTTCAATGGTATTAATATATAGAAAAAAGAACTGCATATAAGGACATGATACAGAGAGAAAGAATTAGTTCGTAGAAGGAAAGGTATAAAGTGAATTTGATCTCATGGTTTAAGGGAGGACAAAAAGTGTATACACCTACACCATTGTGATCGATTCTGAGCCATGTCACTAAGAGTCTCTAACCACTTGTTACGATAGTCACGCGGACCCCAACCAAGTAA